CCTTGAGTTTGTTAGTGAGATGTATTGCTCAAAGACAGAAAGAACAGTGTGATACAGCTTGTTCGAGGCATATTGATTGATTGATTGATTGATTGATTGATTGATTGATGTCTACCCCACTCTTAGACATTCTTGCATCAATGGCCATCCTTTTAATAATAGATTATGAAAATTAAGATAAAATTTATTTGTTTGCCAAAGACACTTTTTTGGTTATGAGACATACTGTACCAGTGAATGCAAACTGCTTCTCACTAGGCCATTTAAACTCTTGGAATTTTCTTGTAAATCTCAGTATTCACTGGAACTTTAGCAATTGCTATTAAATATAAATTAGCTTTGACACCCCCAAACCTTAATTAAACTCTATAAATGTATAACAAAATAATAATAATAATAATAATAATAATAATAATAATAATAATAATATGCAGTCAGAACTTTTCCTCCCCCCCCCCTACTATCCTCAGATCTGTTCCACAAGGTTGAGGGAACCCCCAGAAGGGGTAAAGTCCCATTGTGCAATGAAAAATCCTTGCACTGCTGGAAGCAGTGACTTAATGTCATGTCAAATACAACCCTCAATAGCCATCTTCAAATATTTAAAGAAATGTCTCACAGAAGATGGAATGGACTTGTTCTCTGAAAATTGCAGAAAGGCAAATTTCAGGTGTACATTAAGAGAAATGTCTTAATGGCATGAGCTGTCCAATGGTGGAAAATAGTGCTTCTGGAGGTGGTGGGCTCTGAAGGTACGTAAGGAGAGGATGTGCAGCTGTCTGTCTGGGATAATGTACTCTGCATTACATATGCTGCAACAAGGATGGGCTGGGGCTGGGGCTGGATGGTCTTCAGGGGGCCTTCCCATTCTTTATGTCTCACATAACGAAATATTTGCAGGGAAAACTATCTCTTTGGAGGAGAAATTGTGTGTTTGTCGAGACTTGAATGCTAACAAGTTTACAATGAATTGTATTATAATAGCTGAATATTGCTTGTCTGTGTGTTTAAAAAAAAACATGCTCCTTTGGGAAATTTACTTAATAGCTCAGATTGTTCTTATTTAGTTCTTTAATTTTTGTAAATGGATGTTCCATGGAGTTTCTTCTAGTTGAAATTTTAAAGCATGGTGTTTATGGTTCAGAGAATTGAAATAGTTGCAATTACCTGTGCACAGCAGCTGATGCCCATTTAGAATATTTATGCTGTAAATGCCGGCTTGAAAATAACACTGTTAAGCTGATTTGTCACAAAAGCTTTGAAAGCCTGGAGAATGGCCACCTGCTCACAGAATGTAGAACAGTAAACTGGTATTAATTAAAGTGGTTGGATTTAAATGCAATTAGTGTTTCCACCAGTAGCAGGGCTTCCAGTGTTGTGGCTCCTTTAAGGCCACCTGAGATAAGACAGTTCCCCCACAATCTACTCTTTCAGAAGTATGTGTCAGACATTTTTATCTACCCAAAACTGTTCTGAATTCCCAGCAGCTGTATTCAGAGTTAAGGAAGTAAGAAGGCACCATTTTCTGTTCTGCCCTGTATTAGTCACACATAGCACTGCTTCTGTTCTGCTGTAGTTCATCTTCTGCCACAAAGTACGTTATTTGCCTCACTTTCCACTGTAGCATAATTACATTACTTACATATTTTACATAATTAATTACATAAATGACATTATCACTACATTATTCTACTCCATTCATTTCAGTGCTAAGGAAATGCAATACAGTGGTACCTCGGGTTAAGAACTTAATTCGTTCTGGAAGTATGTTCTTAGCCTGAAACTGTTCTTATCCTGAGGTACAACTTTAGCTAATGAGGCCTCCCACTGCCACTGTACCAACGCGCTGCGATTTCTGTTCTCATCCTGAAGCAAAGTTCTTAACCCGAGGTACTATTTCTAGGTTAGTGGAGTCTCTGTAACCTGAAGCATCTGTAACCCGAGGTACCACTGTACAAGTGAGGAGGGAGGGGGAAGTAATCAATGAGCTTAGCTGTGTTTCTTTGAACGTTGTATACACATTGGACATTTTGCATTCCTATGGTGTGCTTTTTTTTCATTGTTCATGTTAGACAGTTGCATATGCCATTACCCCCAGAGGTAATATACACTGTGGTTTAAACCACTGAGCCTCTTGGGCTTGCTGATCAGAAGGTCACTGTTCGAATCCCTGCGACGGGGTGAGCTCCCGTTGCTCGGTCCCAGCTGCTGCCAACCTAACAGTTCGAAAGCACATCAAAAGAGTGCAAGTAGATACGGCGGGAAGGTAAAACCATTTCCATGCGCTGCTCTGGTTTCGGTGTTCCGTTGCTCCAGAATGCGTCTTAGTCATGCTGGCCACATGACCCGGAAAAACTGTCTGTGGACAAATGCAGGCTCCCTCAGCCTGTAAAGCGAGATGAGTGCCGCAACCCCAGAGTCATCTGCGACTGGGCTTAACTGTCAGGGGTCCTTTACCTCTTTTTTTTACCTTTTTATAATAACAGCTCACGGAGCTACAATTCCCAGTGTTCCCTCAGAAGAGGGATTGATTACTAAACCCCTCTGGTTTCTCCCAGGGAACTCAACCAGTGAGCTTGACATCAATAGCAGTAAAGGTTCTAGAACATATTATTAAACAGTTGGTCTGTGAGCACTTAGAATAGGATGCTGTGATTGCTAAAACCCACCATGGGTTCCTGAAAAGTTAGTCATGCCAGACAAATCTCATTTTTTTGAGCTACAAGATTGCTGAATCAGGGGGATACAACAGTGGAACAGACTCCCACAAGAGGTGGTGGACTCTCCTTCCTTGGAGGTTTTTAAGGAGAGGTTGGATAGCCATCTGTCATGTATGATCTAGCTGAGATTTCTGCATTGCAGGGTGTTGATGGCACTCAGAATCCCTTCCAACTCTACAATTCTAGGATTCTGGAAACCGTAGCTCTGTGAGAGGACTAGGTGTCTCCTAACCACTCCCAGAACCCTTAGCAAACTACAAGTCATGCTTTAAATGTATGCTGTGGATGTAGCCTAAATGCTTCTTTAAAAATACTAATCAGATATTAATCCCCACCACCACATGCACACACACACCTTCTCAGTGTTCCTGAATCAAAGCATTTCTTATACTTGTCATACAGGCATTAGGACACTGTTTACTGAGTCCACACGCCTTTTAAAAAAGAGTCAGAAATAGATTTAAGGGGCTTTGGTATCTTCGATGAGATGAAAAAGTAGTTTATGTAGTGTCTGTCAGGGGAAAATTGATTCCCTATTTATAGGGGAAAGAAATGCAAAAACTTGTACGTTCGAAATGATTGAGTTGCTGAGGAGGTAATTCCATCTCTGTCCATAGACGTCACTATATAACTATTGATTTCAGTCCAAGCACATCTATAATCTTCATTTATGATGAAGGGTGGTTTTTCAAGTGCCACCATTTTCCAAATGTCAGGTTATAAGAGCATCCCCATTCTGCCTGAGGAAATCATTGTCACATAAATGAAGTTGTATGGAGAGTCAAATGGGCAAAAACCAGCCTATGTAAACTTTCCAATAGAAAGGTACTTGCAGTTGTTTGTGGAAGATTGGAATTGGGCCAGTGTCACATGCATAGAGGGCAAAATTGCAATCCACATCCCATCAGAGCTAAAAAAACCAAAAAAACAAGCAGAAGGCCCACATGATGTGTCTCTGCATGATTTCAGGTGGGGGACTGAAATCATGTCAAGGCCAGTTGCGGAGGAAGGGGGGCGGTCTGCTCCGGGTGCCATCTCTGAGGGGGGTGACAAGAAGGCATCCCACCACTGCAAGTGGAGAACCGCGCCGCCGTGAGTGGAGGATCCCTCCGCCGCCACTGCAGCCATGAGCGGAAGATCCCACTGCCATGCGTACGGCACTAGAGTGGCGGTATCATTGCCGCGCGTGCAATGTACATAGTGGCGCTGCACATGCGCCGCGGGGTGGTTTGCCCTGCCCCTTGACACCCCGCACCGGGTGCCGGAGAGCCTTCCTTCGCCCCTGCTCAAGGCCCCACATAAAATGCTCCCTAGAGCATTTTAGGTGAAAAACTAGCCTACAGTCTGCTTCTTGATGTGCTGATTTTGTAGCTGATGAGACTGTTTTATATGGTGAAGCAGTCAGATCTTTGTGTATCCACTCCATGCTGCCTGGAATAGTACAGCGCAGGAACAGGGTCATCACGTGTGGTTTCAATTGAAATCAAATATTTGCAACGAAACTAAGGGAACTGGACATTATCTAGTTCAGTGTATGGTAATGTTCATACAGCAGTAGTCAAAATTCACATTATTTAATTTTAAACACCATAAGAAAAAGAGCAGAATAAACCATTCAAAGTTTTGTTGAGAAATCTTAGGGCAGGAGAAGCCAAAGACAAGCAACAAAACACCCCCCCCCCACTCCACTAGGGACTAGGGGAGAAATTAGATTCACTTCTTCATTTAGGGTTTCTGAAACTATACGCAAACCAAAGCACAGCCACCCTTCAAAATTCACACTTCTCTGCTCTCAGTTCTCTACTGCAGGTTTGTCCAACTTACAAGAGACTGCGATCTACTCCCACTATTAAAAAAAACTGGTGGTGGTCTACCCACTGGATTGACCAAAGTTGTTTAGCTTTTTTTTTTGAAGGGGGGGTGGGAGGGGTCCCACGATCTACCGCGATCTACCACAGGGATCCCGCGATCTACCAGTAGATCACAATCTACCTGTTGGTCATCCCTGCTCTACTGGGGTAAAGATGCATATCTTGTAGGTATTAACATACAGAAATGGATTCTATGAGGGAAATGAGTTTTTTGCCCTTCCCCCCCAACTGCTGCCTTGGCACACTGGTGTGCTGAAAAACAATGTGTCCACACACTCAGGCCTGGTGATCCTTGGAAATGGAGTCCTTTTGAGGTCTACAGCAGGGGCATTGCATGAGTCACTTGGTCCATTGTGCACACTGACACATCCTATGTCAGGCAGCCATTAAGCCCAGGGTGCCAGGTGAGATGCTCAAGGGCATTCCTCTCTCTAGGCTTGCCACTGCTGCTCCACACCTTCTTGCCAGACTTGTGAGGAAGCTGGATAAAGAGGTGACTAGCAGCCTTACAGGGGAGGTAGGGAAGGCATTTGGGGAGTCATTGATTGGCATGGAGGGTGCTTTGAAAAATGCAGGCTGCTGCACATGCTTTTAGTTGGGAATTAAAAGATCACATTTTGTTTGAGCTGGATCCTCTGAGCGTGGCACAGAAGACAAACTTCTCCAGCATCCCTACTGCTTGGTCACTGGTGATGTAGGGCCACAATCAGAAGAAATCTTTTTCACATATTTACCAGCTCATGCCATATTCTGCACCTGGTATTTTGCTTTGAGGTGAAAGGAGGCTTTGTCTGGTGCCAGACAAAAAAGAGCTCACTGCACAGAAACACGGGACTGGGCTGGCTTCTCACATATGAGCTGCCGTCTATTGTTTTCACCATGTAATGGTTTCACCAAGCATCATGTAATGCTTACTAAACAACACAGTACTTGCTATACTTTTTATATATGCTGGAAGCCACCCAGAGAGGCTGGGGCAACCCAGTCAGATGGGCAGAGTACAAATAAATTATTATTATTATTATTATTATTATTATTATTATTATTATTATCTTGCTTTGCATATGTGAACTGTTCACTTGATCAAGCAAAAGGCTTTTTGAAGCAACTTTTTGATAACTATGATATTCTCTCCTTGATATAATTAGCACCGTCTTCTGAATCTACAGAGCCAGTTTTTCAACAGAATAGGATAAAATGCTGTATCATCATTGATTTTGGATGCCCCGGTTCCCCCCTCTCCCCATCTCTTCATTTGAACTCTCCTCAGCTGGGAACTTGTTCAGCCTGCCTTAATGAAAGCAGCATATTAACTCGGCATCAAAAATTAATTATTTGAAGCTGGCGTCTTAGGATGAGTAGAGCAAATCCCAAACACCAGGAGGAGCCAGAGAAGTTTCACAAGCTTTTAGCGCCGCACGTTCGCTCTCCCCCCTTCTTGGCGAGGGAGAGAGAGAGAGGAAAGTAATGACAATTGCAAAAGCGGCCTGCGCAAAATTGATTTCCCTAAACTGGGGCATATGTGGATTAGAGCTAGCCTGAGGTAGCAGAGTCATTTCTGTCAAGCAGGGGATGGCAAGATTATCACTAACCTGAAAGGACAGCTCAGTAGGAGCTGCCAATTACACGTAATGTATGGTGTGTGGGTTTTTCCTTTAATTGGGGAATCGCTTAAAAAAAAAAGACAACAGAGAAATCATAGGAATGAGTAGTGAACATCATATCCCCTTCAACAATCTATGGGAGAGAGTCCTGCAGGAGACTGTGGGTAGGGAGAGGAACTTGATAGATATTTCTTTGTACACCAAAGCCTCATTAAAACTTGTGATGGGAAGATGAGCTGCTTGTGCGTAAAATCGTATTCCCTCAGAGTTTGTTCAAGTCCACAAACCTCTGTCTGTGACTGAGCCCCTCTGACATGGCTCCTCTAGTCACTAGAAGATTCCGACAGTGGTTGCTTTCGTAATCGCTTCCAACATAAAAGCTCCTTAACGGAAACACGTCTTCTGGACTCTCTGCGTGACAGTTTCCGGCGAGGAGTGGGTGTCCCTACAGGAGGTCCGGAAACCTCACCACTGTTTTCGCTGGAAGTATCTCTGAGCCATCCCCCCAGCTCCCTGTCCCTCAGTACAGCTTCTCTCCCCCTGCTGGTTTCCTCTTCAGCTGCTGAGTCTCTTCCAACCTGTCTGAGCCCTTTCACCTCCCTCAGTTCAGCTTCTCTCCCCCTGCTGGTTCCCTCTTCAGCTGCTGAGTCTCTTCCAACCTGTCTGAGTCCTTTCACCTCCCTTCCTTCCGATGGCAGTTCCCTGACATCCACCTCCCCTCCAGGGCCCCCTTCACCCCCTCTCGCCCCCTCCTCTACGGGCGGTGAGGAGGCAAAACCCGGAATGAACTTCCTTCATCTTCCGATGTCTCGAACACTTCTCTCCACCTGTTGCGGTTCCTGGTCTCGAAGCACTCCTCCTCCTCCGAGTCCATCTCCCCTTCCCCTTCCGATTCTGGGAATCCTTCCAACTCCTCCTCCTCCTCAGTGGTCCCAAAGTATTCCCTCCGGAACCTCTCCACAGGCTGAGGTTTCCTCGGGAACCTTTGATGGAACGTTTCTATCAATACCTCGTCATTGATATCTTCGGCCATTACCCACGTGTTTTCTGACTCCGGTTCTCCTTCCCACGCTACCAAATACTCCACCTGATTCCCCTTCCACCTGGCATCAAGGATTTCTGCCACATGACTGCTGCATTCTCTTTCTTCTATGACCGGTCCCCGAGTGGCCATCCCTTCTCGTCCCCTCGTACGGTGACAGTAACGACCTGTGAAATACTGGGTGCAGTTTCATGTGGTTGGGTAACCGGAGCCTGAAAGCCACTGGGTTGACCTGTTGAATGACCTCAAAGGGACCCAACCTCCTGGGTCTTAATTTCTTACAACCTCCTTTGAACGGCAACCCTCGGGTTGACAGCCACACCCTATCTCCAACCCTTATGGTTTCACCTTCCCTTCGGTTCTTGTCTGCCTGCCTCTTGTATTCTTCCTTCGCCCTTTCTAAGTTGAGTTGGAGCTGACGGTGGATTGCTTCCATTTCTTCTACAAAATGCTCGGCTGCCGGTACGCTCCATCTCTCCCTTCTCCCCTGGGAAAGCCCTGGGATGACACCCATAATTAGCCAAGAAGGGGCTCATCCCTGTGGACACATTCTCGGCATTGTTGTAGGCAAATTCCGCCAGCGCCAACTTTTCTACCCAGTCATTCTCTCTGTCATTGACATAACACCTCAGGTATTGCTGGAGGACACCGTTTGCTCTTTCCGCCTGCCCGTTGGTTTCAGGGTGCCGGGCAGTCGAAAAGTTGACCTCCACCTGCAGCAAGCTCATGAGCTTCCTCCAGAACCTGGAAGTAAATTGTTTTCCTCGGTCTGAGACCACCCTCAATGGCACCCCGTGCAACCTAAAAATGTGTTCTACAAATAACTTCGCTGTCTCTTCCGCCGTGACTGCATGCGAGCAAGCTACAAAGTGGCACATCTTTGTTAGTAGGTCTACCACCACCATGATGGCTGTTTTCCCTTTGGACTTCGGCAGATCAGTCATAAAATCTATCGACACTGCCTCCCAAGGTCGTTCTGGTGTTGGTAAGGGTTCTAATAGCCCCGCCGGCGCCCGCCTTTCCCCTTTGGCTCGCTGGCACTGCTCGCACCCTCTTACATACTCACGTACATCCTCCCTCACCTTAGGCCACCAAAATTCCCTGGTGACCAACCACATGGTTTTGTGTTGCCCAAAATGCCCCGCCGTGGGGCTGTCATGCAACTGCTTGAGTACCCTCCCCTTAAGTCTCCTTCAGGGATATACAGTGCCCCTTTGTAATACAAAGCTCCATTTCTTTCCTCGAAACCCCTTGATTCCTCTCCCTCATCCCTAAGACCTCTGAGCTTATTCTGGGCGTATTCATCATTCTCTGTTTCTTCTACCAGTTCTCTTTGTCCCACCAATGCCGCCCCACACACCCAGCGGTCCTCTGGAATGACATGTCTCTCTTCGGGTGCTCCCTCCCCTCCAAATATTCAGGTTTGCGTGAGAGAGCGTCCGCCCTAATGTTCTCTGGGCCTGGCACGTAACAAATCTCAAAGTTAAATTTGGAGAATTCCTGGGCCCACCTCACTTGCCGCTGGTTGAGCACTCGTGCCGTCCTCCAATACTCTAGGTTCTTGTGGTCAGTGCACACTTGCACCTTATGTTGTGCGCCAATTAGCAGGTGCCTCCATCTCCGGAACGCCTCATGAATGGCTAGTAGTTCTCGGTCATACACCGTGTAGTTCCTCTCGGATTTGTTCAGCTTTCGCGAAAAAAGCACACGGTCTCCACTCTGACTCCTCCTTCCCTGGCTGGAGAAGCACCGCCCCAACCGCTCTGTCTGATGCGTCAGTTTCCACTCTCATCGGTTTTTGTAAATCCACATGCAGGAGCTGTTGTTCCGAGGCGAAGGCCCTTTTAGTTCCTCAAATGCTTGCTCCGCCTCCTCCGTCCAAACGAACTTCTTCTTACTGCTGAGACAGTCCGTAATGGGCGCCGTCAGGTGGGCAAAGTTTGGGATGAACTTACGATAGAAGTTCCCAAATCCTAAAAACCTCTGCACATCCTTCCTTGTTTTGGGTGTTTTCCATTCCAGTACCGCCTGGACCTTGCCGGGATCCATGGCCAACCCCTTGTCAGACAGGCGATACCCCAGGAATTCCACCTCCTTGGTATGAAACTGACACTTCTCCAGTTTCACCCACAGCTGGTTGGCTTGCAGCCTGCTCAACACTTCTCTGACGTCTCTCACATGCTGCTCCTCATTCTCAGAATACACCAACACGTCGTCTAAGAAGGCCACACAATTCTTGTAAAGCAACGGCCCCAGGACGTGGTTCATAAACGATTGAAATGTTGCGGAGCCTGCTTGTAGACCGAAGGGCATAACTAAGTATTCAAATGCCCCTAAAGGGGTGAACATGGTGGTTTTCCATTCATCCCCCTTCCTTATTCGTATCAGGTTGTACGCCCCCCTTAGATCCAGCTTGGTGAAAATCTTTCCCTTCCGCACCCTTGTCAAAATGTCGTCAATCCTGGGCATCGGGAAGGCCACTGGTTCTGACACTGCATTTAAGGCCCTGAAGTCACACACCAGTCTCGGCTTGTTCGTGTTTTTTTGTCCACAAAAACACTGGGCTGCCCCCCCACCGCCCTGGACTCTCTGATGAACCCTCTCTTCAGGTTCTTGTTAATGAACTCTCTTAGCTCCTGCATCTCTCTGTCTGACATGGCGTACAGCTTGCCCACAGGGAGCTGTGCCCCAGGGAGCAAATTGATTTGACAGTCAAAGGCTCTATGCGGTGGTAGTTGGTCAGCTTCCCTTTCGCTGAAGACGTCGCGGAGATCTGCGTATTGTCGTGGTACCTTCACGTTCTCCGTTACTTCAGTCCCTGCTAGGGTGGCTTGGGCCCCTGCCAAAACCTTTCCCTCTTTGCAGTGTTCTAAGCAATGTGCTGACCCAAAAGAAACCACTCTTTGATGCCAGCCCACCAGCGGATCATGTAACGCTAGCCAGCTCATCCCCAATATAATGGGAGCTCCTCCCAAGGTGGCCACATTAAACGCTATTAGTTCGGTGTGCCTTGCCACCTTCATTATCATTGGGACGGTCTGCAAGCTGACTTCTCCTCCCAACAGCTCCCTGCCATCGATCGTGGTTACCTGCAGGGGTTGCTTAAAGGGAGCGTCTGTATCTGGTGTTCAGCTGCAAACTCTTTGCTCATGAAATTGCAGGAGCTGCCTGAGTCCAACAGCGCCTTTATCTTTAGAGGGTGTCCGTTTGGCAGCTCTAGTGTCACTTCTATCACTAGGGCGGGTTTAGGAGGTTCTGGCGTGGGCACTTTCACTGCTCTTTGGCCTGGCTGCTGTGCCCCGACAATGGCAGCCAGGCGTTGGCTTTTAGTTGCTCCGGTATTTTTCCTCTCTTCCCTCCACAGCTCCCACCATCCCTTGCCATTCCTTCCTCTGGGGGCAGACTCTGGCAAAGTGCCCTGGCTGTTGGCAGAGATAGCATTTCCGGGCGCCTTTTCCCTCCTTTTTCCCCCCCTCACTGGGCTTTGAAACTGCGCGCGCGCGCGCTGTTCCGATTTCCATCGGCTCAGCCGGCGGGAAAGTTGGCTCTGGAATGTCTGGAATGCGGAACTCCTTCCAACGTTCCCCTTTCCCTTCCCGCCTCTCCAATGCTCTCGCCTCCTGGCGCGCTCCTATGGCCAGCGCTGATTTGGTCAGCTGGTCCATAGACTCCGCCCTGGGCGCCCGGGAAAGTTCATCTTTCACAGCCGAAGAAAGCCCTTCTTCAAAGAGCATTTGAATGGGTTCCGCCGATAAGTCCCACCCCAATCTGTGTATCAGCATGGTGAACTCAGTCCAGTACTCACGTACAGATCGGCTCCCCTGTTTGCAAGCCATTAACTGTCTGCGCACCACTCCCTTTTCAATATCGCTGGAAAACATCAGATCCATGGCGCGAAAGAACTTCATCGTGTCCTTTAGGACGTCACTATGCGCTGCCATCAGGGGTCTAACCCAGTCTCTCGCCCCCTTTTCAAGATGCCCAATCACAAAAGCCACTCGTGATTCCTCATCAGGGAAATCATCAAACTGCAGATTGAGGGCATATTGCATTTCTGTCCGAAAGCTATGATAGTCTTTGGGCTCCCCCCCAAATTTCTGCACCAATCCTGGTACCTTTCTGGCGAGCTGGGTGGCTTTCTCCCTTTTGTCTGCATCTTGAGCCCTCCTCTCCTCCAGCCTCGCCGTCTGCAGCGCCAGCTGGACCTCCAACACCCGGTACCTTTCTTCCAGGCTTGGACCCGCTCCAGCCCCTGCTTCTCCGGTTCCTGCTGGGTTGCTCATTATGCCTTCTCCTGCACAAGCTGCGTTCAAAGACTGTCGGAATGCTGTGATGGGAAGATGAGCTGCTTGTGCGTAAAATCGTATTCCCTCAGAGTTTGTTCAAGTCCACAAACCTCTGTCTGTGACTGAGCCCCTCTGACATGGCTCCTCTAGTCACTAGAAGATTCCGACAGTGGTTGCTTTCGTAATCGCTTCCAACATAAAAGCTCCTTAACGGAAACACGTCTTCTGGACTCTCTGCGTGACAGTTTCCGGCGAGGAGTGGGTGTCCCTACAGGAGGTCCGGAAACCTCACCACTGTTTTCGCTGGAAGTATCTCTGAGCCATCCCCCCCCCAGCTCCCTTTCGCTCTGTTCAGCTTCTCTCCCCCTGCTGGTTTCCTCTTCAGCTGCTGAGTCTCTTCCAACCTGTCTGAGCCCTTTCACCTCCCTCAGTTCAGCTTCTCTCCCCCTGCTGGTTCCCTCTTCAGCTGCTGAGTCTCTTCCAACCTGTCTGAGTCCTTTCACCTCCCTTCCTTCCGATGGCAGTTCCCTGACAAAACTGATCCCCTGGTTTTGTTTTAAGGTTTATTACACAACACACAATTTCAGAATTGCTGTATCAGGAATTCTTATAAGCTTCAAAGAAGTGGGGGGAGGGGGCACCTTTATTCACTCCTCAGCCCCACACAGGTGCGATATATTCTCATTGCTTTTATGAGATTGAGTCAGCTGACAAGGAATGAGGATAAAATAGCTCTCTTTTCTTCTATTTAAGAGAAGTAGCAATGTATCTTTTATTGATTATGTTTTTATAGAAATGGTCCCTTGGAATATAGAAAGCATCCTTCATGCTGTTTCCAGTTCTGTTGGCAAAAATAATAATATTGGCATCTGAGTTTGAAAGTCCTGAAACTGATCATTGTGTAGAATCCCCCTGTGCTCTCTCTCTCACACACATACACACTTCCACAATATAGCTTTATTGTCTAATGCCCCTGACTAAGCTGGTGTGCACAGAGCAATATATTTTGTTAATCAAGGGTAACAGTCACTCCAGCGTTTGGGCTCTAAAGGTATAGGGCATGGGAGACCCAGGTTGAAACCTCCACTTAGCCATCAAGCTCACTGGAGTCACTACCTCAGCCTAACCTACCTCACAGGGTTTTTGTGAGGAAGACGAATGGGGGGGGGGGGAGAAAACCATCTATACAATTTTCAGGTCACATATAAATAAACACGAATGTTATATGTTATCTATGCAAATATACTGCATACAACAGACCATGTGGCATTTCCCTTATTTACCAAACTGATTCACTGTTATATAGTGTGGCAGATCCCCTAAAGAGATGTGTTGTAGGAGCCAAAATGGTGGACAGGCTTATAAAATACTTGCAGAATTATACCTTGTTTGTACAGCGCCTCTTTGCACTCTTCTGGTTACATGGTAAACCAATGGGACAGGAAAACAGAGAGAGCAGAGCAGTAGTTCCTTTCTGTGAATGCCATCATTTTACATGAGGCTGGTTTATTTGCGAAGAAAAGAATTGTTATTTAGAGAAGGGTAACATTAACCTGTATCATCATTATTAAATCATGTAAAATGGCCCAGTTTCTTCCATTCTTGAAACAGGTACCTGAGTTTCCCTATCATGCACACCCACAACCCTCTGATAGCTTCAATTTTTTTTTACTTTTTTATTTTTAAGACATGAGGAACAAGCAACAGAGCAATGACAAGGGCTGGCCTGCAGCCTTTATATCCTGTGTTGATTGTTCTCTGTTCTGGGTTATCCTTTGGAGCTCATGGGCTAAGATGGGGAACCTGTGGCCCACCAGGACTCCAACTCTCATCAGTCCCAGCCAGCATGACCAATGGTCAGGGATGAAGGGAATTAAAATCCAGCAACATCTGGAAGGCATCAGGTTCCCCGTCCCTCACATAAGCTTTTAAACAATGTCAGCACCACCTATATGTAGAAAACGCAAGACTTCCTCTTGGGTTGAACCCATGAACAGAACCCAGCAGGAAGTCTGGAAGCTGCTCATGGAAAGACCATCCTTGGGGAAAGCTGTAAAGTTACATGGAGTGCCAATGCTAATGTAATTACCCCATGAGTATGTGCCTACCGCAGGATCCATTCAAAAAGTTACCCTCGCAAGTAATGAACATTATGCCAGAATCATCCCTCTGTGTCACACAAAGGAGGAAATGCACTCCCAGAATAGGAAATGTAATGATGAGCTATAGCTGCCTTCGCAGGAATTATGAGGAGCAATTTGAATTCAAGTGCCTTTTCCGCCGGTTACAAATCACTGCAGAGTGTTATTCACCATAATGCTGTCCAAACATCATTTTATTTATTGATGTTTATTGCTTCTCTTTTGCAGAGTGATGAGGTTTTGACTGTCATCAAAGCAAAAGCACAATGGCCTGCCTGGCAACCGCTAAACATGTAAGTAGGCAGGGAATTAAACCTCCCAAAAGATTTCCTTCTCCGCTGTCCTCTGACAGAATGCTCTGAATGTCTTGCCTTCCACCAAAGTTTATCTCTTTCAAAGAGCAACAGAAAAAATCCAGTTGATTAATGAGTTTCTTTTTTTATACCATTATGTCTCTTTCCATTTATCTCTCTAACAAGGGTGTGTGTTTGTGTGTGTGTGTGTGTGTGTGTGTTTGAAGGAGGTGAGTACTAGATTAGGAGTTTGTTTTACTTACCAGGCACTATAGACATATATTTGAATCCTCTTGTGCTCTCCCTGTTCTGAGCAGTGAGGATATAGCTGCACTATAGACTAAAACGCCAGTCATATGCATGCTTACTTTGAAGCAAGTCCAAATGAGTTCAGTGGAACATGTTCCCATATAGATGTGTAGAGAATTGCAGCCATAAAATAGGTTAACAAAGGCAGCCTTTGTCTATTTTAAAGCAAAAAACCAAAAACAAAGGCAGCCTTGGGAAATCCAAATCTGTGAAGATTTTGGAATCTTCAACAGGAAATTACTAGTTTCCTTAAAATTCCCATGGGGGGGGGTCCAAGTTAATTTGTGACATAACAGATTGTGTTTAAATGCAAGCTTGTGTTTTAGAATGTGACCGATTCTGGAGGAATAATAATAATAGACTCTGACATCATCACAAAAAGTGATAGAGCAACAAATATCCACCAATTGCCCCATCAGCTCTCCACATCAAAGATTCCCCTGGCTCTTTTAATTCTGTGCCTACTTCAGAACCATTGGATCTAACTCTCTGAAGCTTCCTTGGGTGGTTGAGTGAGTGGAGAACTATTTTTTCGGATATGGAAGAAAACTTTGGTCAATTCAAACATGAACACAGCTTTAATTAATGAACATATGAAATAGTCATACTGTGCCTTAGTGTGCAACCCTCTCTTCTTTTTTCCCCAGTCTTCATTTCCTGAAAAAGCCACCTCCTTTTGAAATATCAAACACACTTTCCAGAGTATAACCCTAGAAAGGACACTACAGGGTTAGGCCCCATACTTACATGACCGGCACATTTCCTAATGTACTAATCTTCTAGCACATTTTCATCTCCTTCCTTCGTCATGAAATATGTTGCTTTATTCCACAGTCTTCCTCTAGTCTCATGAGATATGTTTGGCTGTGTCTTTCATTCAGTTTTCTTTTCCAAACTGGCACATTTCTAATGCTTTTTCATCAGCGCACACAACGATCCAAGGCTTATGCTTGATTTGGTCAGCTGTGGGGCATGTGTACTTTGGCATTCATGCTCCCAAGGCTTTTGCCTAAACTGTACAGCATTCCCCCCCCCCCACACACACACACCTTAAATTGTTCTGTGGGCCAGTGGAAAATTGCCTTTTCTAAGCTTGTCATTCCAATGTTTTTCTAAAACAGCATTTTTAAAAATAATTATAATAATGGAAAATCCAATCACAACCCTTCTGGTCTTATTTACTAGGATGTTTTAGCAGTGAATAATTTTAAAAGAATGCATCTCTAACCTTTTACTCACACACCTATTTAAACATTTCCTAAGCGTATTAGCTCATTCTTATGCTTTTGACACCCTTGTTGTTTATAGAATTACTTACTTCAATTGCCATGTAATTACATTTCCTATCAGTGCAAACAATGTCCAACAAGAAATGATCCAAATTTTAGTCATTTAAAATTTTATACCAAGTTTTACTCACTACAGTCAGGACATATCTACATATTGCTCATTTTGGGAATTGGATGCCCTCAGAAAGCAGATCTTATCTCTGACAGTCCTCACACACAGAGGGCCTTCAGAACCGCAACTGCAAATCCACAGGGGCTCAACCTGCTTTGAGTACAACCAGCTTTCTGTTTTGGCAAAATGTAGATGCCCATCTCATGACAGTAGTACCCTGTAGTACCCAAGTGGCTATATGTTGTGTTCTAGTCCTCCCCCTTGTTTATGTCTAGATTAGTTAATCCCTTTCAAAATGTCTGCTCAGGACTAAATTTCCGAATGTGGTTGTTAAGAATGGGAAAGGGAAAGGTTGCTGGAGGAGAATTTCAAAGGCTGTGCAAAATGTGCATGCTCTAATCCTTCTTAAATCTACAAAACTCTGGGTTATCTTTCTATATGTACCCATTGGCCCTGATCCAGACATTTACACAAGAATAGCAAGCTGCTGTAGTTTTGGGTAAACACAGCTTAGTGCACAAGGTTGACTTAGGAGATTCCATATAAGGCAAGGCATGGAGTTACTAGGGTTGTTTAAAGTACCTCCAATTTGGTTCAGGGCCCAATTTGGTGATCTTGATCAGGTCTCAATCTGACCAGAACTAAACCAAAAACTCTTGCCTGCATTGACTCCTCCCCCTCCCTCCAATGCATGTTTATGTCATGGAATTCTACTCAAAATTGATCCAGAGCAGATTCCAGCGTATAGTTAGCAGAGTAAAAACTTAAACACATTGCAGGATTCCCAAAAAATAGGCCAGAGGCAATTAATATTTCATCCAGCAGAACTTTACTGCTACTGAAGGCAAATGAGCATAATGGTTACAAATCCAATACATTCAGGATTGGCACTGTCCATAAGAAATCCAGTTGCAGCAGACTTAACTTAAACTTACAATAACTTATAATAAGTCTAAACCTAACACTAAGAATACTATGTACAGAATATCACACCAGAAGGAAAATAGATTGAAAGGGAAACCCAGGCTCCTTCTGGCCTCTTATTATAGTCGGCATGACCTTGAAGAAGAGATAACAGAACCAGTTTAAGCCAGTTGTACTCAGCTTCTCTGAAGGAATAACCCAGACATCATGAACCTTCTGCTTGTTTCTTTCACACAGAGAAGCTTCCAGAACCCTCTTGAATTAATTACAATAGGAAAGATCTCTACACATCAGAACAATACTTTCTTCACTAAGAAATGAAACTGACAGTTAAATCCAGGTCTAAACTTGTGGTTGGCAGCAAGGAGAAGGTGGAAGAAGGAGACTTCAGAGACTGGCAGAGACTTTCACCAGCATTGTCTTCTCCTCCCCTTCTCTCCTTGCCTCTTGACCACATCCCTTTTTGACAGCCACAGAGCTCTCTATTTTTATTTTTTTAAATGATATTTATTAAGAATTTTTAAATTACAGAAAAAACAAAGAAAAAAAGAAGGGAAAAACAAGGGAAAAACAAACAGCAATCAAACAATACAAATCGATAAAAATCAAAGTCAAAAAGCAAAAGCAAAACTCATAACACATAAAAATCAAAAAACAAAAATAAACCACAAAAATTTAAAAACAGATCCAATATTCCCAAATCCTTAACTGTCATTACCTTATTTCATCGACCTCCTCACACCTCCCTTTTTTGTATTCTAGTTATTAATTATCACAGCAAATCCTTTCCATTTTTCATAATATTCTGTCATTAAATTACCTTAATCTATTTTAACCTTATCTTACTATAAAAACCCTAAAACTTAAAACTTAAATCTTATTTATACCAATTTCTCATAACCATAGCATATTCTTACATAGTTCTTTGTAACATTTCTGCTAAAGCCAAATAATTTCGTTCCAACATTTTTCTAATACTCATTAATTTTACAAAACAATCCTAAATAATTTTTTAAAAAACTTTCTTCCAGTCTTCATCCAACGTCTCTTCCTCCTGGTCCCGGGTTTTGTCAGTCCTTTCTATCCCATCCATCTAGTTCATTAACCTGGTAATCTTATGTCCGAAGCCCTTAAGTCTCTTCCATGTCCCTTCCGCAGATCTTCTTCATATTTATACCTGTACTTTACTTTGTCTCCTGCTCCTTTCACTCGTGGAAACTCCAACTTGACAGTATTTTTGTCCCTTCTCGACAGATCAGCCCCTTTTCCATAGTCCACACTGAACTCCATGTGGTATTTAAAAGCATGTTTCAAGGTCCCTCCAGAGTTGAGGACCCCACAACCCCAAACTCCTCACGGCCCATTGCCAGACTTGAAAAGTCAAAACATCCCTGCATAGGGGGGTCTATCCAGCCCCCCATCTCCAAGCCAAACAAAACTCTATCTCTCCAAATCTGGCTTTTTCCAAGTTCCTTTGTCAGATCCAACAACTCATGTTCCTGCTGGGCCACAGCTCCCTCCATCTCTGCCACCCGAGGTCCAGCAACAACCTCCTCCCTCATCTGATCTGTCAGAGCACACTCCTGAGTTGATTCCTCGGTGGGTTCTATATAGATACTCACTACCTGTCCAAAATTTCTAATCGCAACAGTCATCAAATCTGTCTTCTCATGTAACTGTTCCAATAAAGCACTTGTCTTGCAGAAAGCACACACCAGAGCCTCTGAGTACATTGTTATGCAAGGTCAGAAGTCTGTTCCCACGATCTTAATCTATTGCAGCTGCGAAGCTCCCCAGTTCAAATTTAATAACAGTTTCACAAGCTCCCTCTAGGGGAAGAACTTCTATTTGTATCCATCTCTTTTTTTTTTATAAAGCAGATCAAAGATTAAAGCAGAACAAAGTTTCCTTTTTCAGATATTTTGTCAATATTTGTTCCTTTAAAATGTGAAAGAGAACAATGGAATCACTATGTTTCTCTTCTTTTAACTGTCTGTCAAAAACGTTTGTCTATAGTCAATGAACTTCCCAAAAACGTCTGTCCTGACACCCCGCTCCCAGGTTCAAGACGGTGGAAAATTACTTTTCTTTACACTCTCTTCTGCAGGTTTAAACAATCCGGAAAAAAAACCCCCTCTTCTCCTGCTTCCGAAGAGGATTCAGTAATTTTAGATGATGAAAGTTGATCCTTTACAGACGATTTTCTAAACTCTAGTTTGCCATGTCTTTGCTTTAATCTATCTACAAGAAACGAAAGGCTGACTTCCTGTTTAGACCTTCCTGCTTCAGTGCCAAATTAAGAGGAATTTCTTAATCCAATTTTCCGTTCTACTCACAGGTCGTTGTTTAAAGTCCAATTGTCCAAATTTAATCTGCTCACGGGTAGTTGTTTTTGTAGCCAAATTGTCGCAGGAAAAAGGTAGCGCTCTCCGGCAACGGCTGTGCGGCTTCACTCCACGGAAGAAGCAGTTGACTCTCAGCACCGCACCACTTGCCCCTCTTCGCTCTGGAGCCCGTAATTGGGTTCCTTTACGATTTGGGGGGGCGCGAAAGGTGCCCGCCGAGTCCCATAGTCACAGGCTTCATCCGGCTGTGATTTTTTAAAGGGTCCCCGCTTCGCCGTAGCGGAACAGACCCGTTTTCCGTAGAGCCAGTCCCTCCGGATCAGAGGGAATCCGCCATTACCGATGGCGCCACCCCGGAAGTCGTTCTATTATTCAGCCACAGAGCTCTCTAGACAGACCCAACCAAGAATGATCCAGGGCTGCCTTGACCTAGTCTGGACAAATCCCAGATCTACTCAGATCAGTTGGAATGCAGGATTTGTCTTGACCAGATGTGCAGACCTATTCATTAACCTATTTCCATGTGTGGTCTTATTTCCCCACTCCTGTACAATAGGCTTTTACACACATGTCTCAGGAGATCCACCTGCTTGTAGAAATCTCATTTATGTGCCCAGGCACCACATCACCCACCACCCCATCTTGTAAAATAACCAGTCAAAACTCATTACAAGAAACAAATCAGGCCACAACTTTCATTGATTACAGATGGAAGAGGTTTAGCATACGCATTGGGTATAACCATTGACTTGCCAGAAGTAATCCATTTTAGGGTCAACCTGGAAGCGGGGGAGGCCTATGACATACATCAAATAGGTCAGAGGCAGGCTGTCTTATATTCCCCAGGAGTGGACCCAAGTGAAGCCCACAGGCTCTGTTCGGCGTCTCCCCCACAGGCCAGCCCCATAGCCTGTCCACAGTTGGCCAATTTGCAGGCAGGCTTGCATCCACAGCCCTGGATCGTGGTGGGCAAGGCGATGACAGCTCGCAATGTCACCACACCAAAGATGGTAAGTGGACATCTGCAAACTTTGCTAGGAAAAATTGTATTTCAACATATGCAGCTGTGCTTCCAGCTGTCTAAAGAACAGGGAACTTTACCAACGATTATAATTTCTGCACTCAACTTTTCCATTTTGCCTTAGATGATTTAGCAATGATTAAAATGTTGCCTCTGGATAAAGTAAAATTAGTCCATTATTATGCATAACATGACAAACTAGTTGTGGCAATATGCGTTGCTAATTTTCCACTGACTAATATGTATGGATAATGTTCTTAAGAGTAATCACTAAGCCTGCACCAGGAAACAGATTTGCCAAAGCATGGTTTTGCACAATATATAACTATGTCAAAATGGATCACTATACATTCAGCAAGATATTACTGCTTGGGAATTAGGCTGGATTGTGATGCATAAAATATTTTCACTCGCTGTTTGTAGTCTCCAGTGATCATAAAGTTACACTACAGTTGTCAAAAGAAATTGCTGCCCTAATAGTTTTTAAGATATCACTGCTCAGAATAAGGAAACATTTTCTCATGTGATGAAATATGACTAATAATTGTTCCAGTAGTTATCATTGAAGTGTCAGTGTTTGCCTGAAGTTAAACTTGTCACTGGTGTATGGAAAACTGTGAATGCATTGCTGGATTTTTTTTATACGTTGCTTAAAGATTAAGCATCATCTGTTGTTATACATATGTCATCATTCTGAAAAGGTTATTACGCTTGTCACTCCTAACATTTTTTAAAAATAATAATAATGCAGCAGTGGTGTAAATCTGTTTTTAACTAATCTGACATATGGGAACAAATATGGCTGATTAACCCATTTTTATTTTGCACAAATTGAACTGAACTGAATGACAAAAAGCACAAAATCCTGATGATCACATACAGCAGAGCCATCTACTGTTGCTATATATCATAAACAGAAAGAGGTTGCTATCCAGAGGGTCTTCAACATTGAAAAAGAAAAGTTGCATTTCTCTGTTCAAAGATTGCAAGCCTTGCACAAAGAATTGTCCAGTCTGAGAAGTAGTGTCTCTTATTTAAACTCTTTTGGCTTCCTTTGACACTCCAGTCATTTCATCCGAGGAGAAACTTTCAAGTTTGCTTAAGGCAAAAACTCTGGATGACCTAGGGTTGTAACTTGTGAAGAACACCATGGGAAATTTAACTAGTTTTACTGAAACTTTCTTTGGCATCCCTAAGAACTCATTGGACATTTTGCCTGAGGGGGGGGAATCAAATCCACTTCTGATTTCATGTTAGGTGAAATTTCTGTGAGATGTATAGGAGGACAATTAACTGTGCAAAACAGCTGCAGTTTGCAAAACAAAGTATGTCTAAGTTGAATTAACTCTGGAATAGGGCTTTGCCAATCAGAGGACACATCATTATTTGTCTTACTTATACGCCAGTGCCTTATAACTGAAAATTTATGAGCCTGCTTCACTATGTAAGCAACTTCTCTATGTTATGGACATAGGTCGTTACTATAACATAGTCAAACTGTGACAGGTATAAATGAGTAAAAATGGTAGGCATGGTTCTCATGTAACTTTTTGATGTGGTAAAGTCACCATGAGGTGATGTAACTATGTAGAATTCACAAGCTGAATCTTTTATTTTAATACAGCCTTAAATAGTGTGAGAGAAATGCTGTTTGCAATGTTTTCAAAGTCTAGTGTAGAGTAGATTTTTCTCAGTTTGGAAATAATAGTTTTTCACTATATGAGAATGTTCTGTGCTCTACAATAGGGCCCCCAGATTTTGTTGGACTACAGCTTAGCCAACGGTGAGGGATGGTGGGACCCAAGGTGAAGAGCGCTTCTCTCATTTATTCACAATCACTAAAGATGCATGTGGTACAATCACATCAGGTTACCTTACTATGTCAAGAGGTAATGTGGGTCTTAGACTGAATGTCCGATTGCTTCACCTAATGCTTTGCTTGAACAAGAATGCCGGTGTTCATCATCATCATAATGTGGAAGCATGCCACCCATTGAGACATGTCTCTACTTACCAAGTAACTGATGTAGCAGTTTACCTTAGCAAAAAAACTACGGGCCATTATAGGGAAAATGGGAGGGGGAGCCAATGGCATGGAAGAACTCGCATCCATTATAGAGAGCTCTTAGGAACTGACTTATAGTGCAGTAAATGAGTATGAAATCCATAAGGCACAGAAATATGGTCTGCACTTTTCTTATTTGCACAGCTGCATACAGCCTGTCTTTGGGGCCTTTATACTTGGATAAAAGGGTTATCATTTGATTGGTTACACCTTTGATGCAACATCATGTTCTTGGCTACAGAATTGTATATATATATATGGTCAATCTGGAATCTTTTTGAAAACCTGTGACCAAAGATAAGCAAGGGGTATCCTTCTAAAAGATAACCCTCAGCTGTCTCAAAAGATAAGTATGCCCTGAGAGCATCTTAACAGATGGTCACTAATATGTGCCGATGTAGGGAGGTCTGCTTGTTCTTTATTCAGAAGGCAACTATTCTGAATGGCACTCTGCTTTAAGACTTGCAGTTCTGTTGCTATAACCTTAGATACCGGAGAAATTATCACGACTGAACAATGTATAAAAAGAGGAGACTTGCTGAACAGCTATATACTTATGGTAGACAATACACATGGTGGGCATTCAACATACCAAATAAGTTAGAAACCCTGTGATTTAGCTTGGGTATCTGAATATGCCATCAGTCCCACGTGGCTCCCCATCTCAATATAATCTTCCAGAAGCATTACTTGGTTGTCTCCTCCATCAGTGCACACATTGTTTGTCCACCGAAACCAGGATTCTAATTAATTTTGATGGAATTGATGGCCACATTTTCATGGGGTGCAAGAATTGATTCTCTCAAATGAAATTAGTTGGAGCATGTGAGGTATATGTTCAGGGCACAGATTGGCAGGCATTCAGCTAAACCTTCAATTGTAGTTTAGAAATTCTTTGAGCCATTCAGATAAATAAGAGTGAATTGATACATTTCATATTTTATCTATACAGCATTGTCGCTTCCAATAACAAAGGATTTTTTCCCTTCCATGTTGATAGACAAGATACTTCCCATGTTAGAATTAGTAATGCCAATGGAGGGAGGACTCTAACATAGGCAAAATTGCATGGGTGCAGCCTCATCCTATAGAGGGGGGGCAATTTTGGGGGCAAGTATTTATTATTATTATTATTATTATTAATTACTTATACCCCACCCATCTGGGCGGGTCCCAGCAGAATATTAAAAACACAATAAAACATCAAACATAAAAAACTTCCCTAAACAGGGCTGCCTTCAGATGTTTTCTAAAACTCAGAAAGTTGTTTATTTCCTTGGCATTGGATGGGAGGGCATTCCACAGGGTGGGCGCCACCACCAAGAAGGCTCTGTGCCTGGTTCCCTGTAACTTCACTTCCTGCAAGGAGGGAACTGCCAGAAGGCCCTCTGCACTGGACCTCAGTGTCTGGGCTGAATGATGGAGGTGGAGACGCTCCTTCAGGTATACTGGTCCGAGGCCGTTTTGGGCTTTAAACACTTTGAATTGTGCTCGGAAACGTACTGGGAGTAACATGAAAGTACCATTAATTTTGCAAACATAGCATCAATCAAGTCAAGTTTTGTAGTGTACTCCATAAAGCAATCTATTTCCTTCTGAAAAAGTTAGAGGAAAACTATAGTCATTTCATTGATGAACGTATTTATTTTGCTTAATAGTCATTTAAAGGATTTAAAAACAAACAAACCACAATTTTGCTTTTAAGCTGACCATACTGTTCTTCTGTTGTGTGAACAATGAAAAGAACTGAGAGCAGGATTACTTTGCATTTCTGAACAATATAGTGTTTGGAATGGTTACATGTCTCACAGCGTTGATGTTTAATCTGTCATTTAAGTGAGGGACACCTGAATGCACGTGAATATTTTTAAAGACCGAATGGAGCAGTGGTTGAATTTTTCTTTACTGTTTCAGAAACAACACTTGCAGAACATCTGAGCCAAAGTGGCAGGCGGCGTTATTCAACTTTGCTGCTGTCCTTCAGAAAAACTCTGAGTGAAATAAATTGACACCTCAATTCCCTGCCCTGTTCACTGTTGTTAATAACAGTGATGACCCTAGCCTGTAGCAGCTGTTTTCATATTCCAGGCTATACAACCCACCTATGGCCATTCCTAAGGGACTCCCACAGGGAAGCAGCCAGGCTTAATAACAGAACAGCTTGACAGCCATAGCACAAAAATGAAGAGCACTTTGAAAAGTGTCCTTAATTAATCAACACATGTCCAGCTGAGGTAATTAACAATACCCTCCGTGTTGTTCCTGTTACATCTCACACTTAGGCTCAGCGTGAAGCTTTATTTGCCAAGTGTAATTTTTGTTGAGATTGTAACTCTCCAGAAACCTGGGGCATACATAGTTTCCAAATGAAGCTACAAATCCATCCAGGGCAACTCGTAACACCTAAAACCACTTGGTCAGGAGGGACCAAGGCCATTGCGATGCAAGAGCTTCTTCCAGGTGATCTCATGCCATGCCACACCAGTAACAGTGGCCACAGGGGGGCAGTGAAGCTTCCAAATGGTCAATACTTTTCAGACACAAAATTCAATCATGTACAGTCATACCTTGGATCCCAAATGCCTTGCAAGTTGAACGTTTTGGCTCCCAAACACCACAAACCCGGAAGTGAGTGTTCCAATTTGCGAACGTTCTTTGGAACCCAAAGGTCCAACGTGACTTCTGTGGCTTCCGATTGGCTGCAAGAGCTTCCTGCAGCCATTCAGAAGCCACCCCTTGGTTTCTGAACGTTTTGGAAGTCGAATTGATTTTTTCTATTATTTTGGTCACAGACCAGTTCCAGCCCACATACAATATCAAGGAAGTCATAAAACACGATAGGGATACATTTTAATTTGCGATTAGGTATAACAGGGACAATACAGATATAGCAACAGTTAAAAATATATAAATTAAAACTTAGTCACTAACATATAACCTAAAATTATCATTTAAGGCCTTAATCATTTTAATAGCACAGCTTGATCCCTAAGTTTTATGGCAATCACACAGAATTTGGCTACCCTTATCGTGATCTCAGGAACCTTGTCCTCTACCAGGGATTTTAGACATTGAAGTTTGGATTCATTTGGAGATTTTTGCATAGCAGGGGTAATAAATACCGAGCGTATATCCCCGTAGAAACAGCAGCATAACAAAGCATGAGAGACAGTTTCTACCTCCATCAAGCCGCAGGGGCAGACTCGTTCCGTGTATGGTTTACCCTCAAATCTGCCCTGCAATATGGCAGGTGTCATCATGAAACGGATTTCCAGAACAGATTCCGTTCGGCTTCCGAGATACCACTGTACTGGAAAATTTAGGCTGAACAATAAAGTGGATTTGGTGCTTTTGTGCGACAACATGCTGATGATGATTATGATGATGATGATGATGATAGCAACAAAACATGTCTGTCCCAAATAGGTCTCTACAGCCAAGCAGGCACTTTACCCTCCAATGGTTTGACTTCACCCACAAAGGTGCATTCCTCCACTGTCTCCTGAGACAGATGGGTGCCAACCAATACTTTTTCTAGTACGGAAAGGGATGGAGAAACACACTGGAAAGTGTGGGATAATAATGGCTTAGCATGGCATTGTATAACCTCTCCACAAATGAATCCTCATTACACAACAGGCATTGTTTATTGTCCCCACAAACTTCATGGCAAGCAAATCAAGATAAATCCTCAGTAAACAGGTCATCTGGAAGCAACCAAGATGATTGATGTGGCTATGTCCCAGATCAGTGTCACCAGTGCTTAGGAGAGGATTACTACTCCCCCCCCCCCACACATACACATACACACACCTTCATTTCCATTTGACTTTCACCGAATGTTGGCTAAGATATGTTTGATAAGACCAACAACGCTTTTAATTACATTAGCAAAGCTGGTGATCATTTCGCAAGTTTACTTTTGTGATGCGTTTTAAAAATGTTAGAATTTATAATGGAATCAAGGCCCACTCGAAGGAATGTTTCCTGACACAAGCTAAAGATGGCATTTGAATTTCAGCTTTGTTGTCTATGTGAGCAAATTCTGGTGTAGTTTCCAATGTGTACAGATGATAAAATGGGGGATTGCAATTATATTGCCTCTGGGCATCTTGCGGGAGTCCTCTAGTTGCTGTTGCCAATCAGTTTAACACACTGTGGGCACTCTGTATAAAAGTACTGTTGCCACCAGCTGTGGGACCCATGTGACAAGGGTGTTCTGTGATGAATAGTCCTATAAATCTGAAGATATCGTATTGAAGCCCATTGTAGTGCTATGTTGTTTTACTGGGATTGTATTGTTTTAATTATTTAATTTCTTAATGTTTTAATGGGACTGCTTTATTGTGTACTTATTGGTATTTCTATTTTAATGTCTCTGTGGCAGGTTTTTATACTTCTCTATAAAAGTATAACACTTGGAAGCCTATTCTGACTTTAAGTGATATATAAACTAAAACAAAAACTCTTATAAAACATGGTGCCATCTTTTTCTGAATGTATTTGAAGCGTTTCCTGCTTACAGAGCATCCTTATTTGGATTTTCAGTTCATTGCATTTCAGAGTCTCAAGGTAGAAAACAATGTATTGTTGAATGGCAACTAAATTTAAAAACATCATAAATAGAAGATCCCTTCAAAAGTTGGACTTCTCATTTGACATTTACTGACTTGACATTTACTGTCAAGATGACATTGTTTGTTTGTTTGTTTGTTTGTTTGTTTTTATTATTATTATTATTATTATCATCATCATCATTATTATTACCACCCATGTTGCAGCATAAGAAAAAAGAGAGCTCTAAATTGCAAGAAACATACACCCTAAAGTCTGACATACCCTCCAATATTTCTCCAATGAAAATAGGGACATGCTATTTCAACATCACCATCACCATTTTATTATTTATACCCCACTCATCTGACTGGGTTGCCCAGCCACTCTGGGTGGCTTCCAACATATATCAAACATAATAAAACATTGAACATTAAAAATTTCCCTATAAGGGCTGCCTTCAGATGTCTTCTAAAGGTTCTATAGTTATTTATCTCCAAGGCTTGGGGTGGTGGTGGCATAACTCCATACCCTCCAACATTCCTCCGATGAAAATAGGGATGTCCTAAGGAAAAGTGGGATATTACAGGATGAAATAAGAAACTGGGACGACTTCTGTAAATCAGGGCATGTCCCTGGAAAATAGGGACACTTGGAGTGTGTGGTCTGAGTGAATGACAGAACAGAAGGAAAAGGTGAGAGATGCAGGTGTAAAAAGCAATGAAATGTGAGCAAGTACAGCTGCAACTACCATTGTCTTTGAAGATGAGGATTGGAAGGTTAGGCAAGGGTTTCATGGAGAAGGGATGCTTTGAGGTTTTAAAATAGTCACCTGAATAAGAGGGTCTTGTACTTCTTCAGGAGTATACAGTACTCTGACTCTGGCTTAGCAGGATCTCTGGGGTAGGGAGAGCTCCAGAAACAGGGGAGCGAGGATGAAGAAGGCTTCTTTCCATGTCTCTGTGGTGTGAACTTGCCACAGAAAGGTCATTGCCAAGCTATGTTGTCCCTTGATGGTTGCAGTAAGAGGTGGCCTCTCTTACTATTTCTGCTCCCTGCCCACTTGTGGGTATCTGCGGGGTGTTTTCAGCATCTTTTCCTACTTAAAGCACAAGTGTTGGCAAAGATGTTGCTCTTCTTGGCTGCTTTCCCACTCACTTCTCTTCTCTGGAGGCAACTCCAGCGGCTACAGCGAGAGTGGGAGACGGCGTGCAGATGGATGGGCCAGGAGTCTTCAAAGAGGTTCTGCCAGCTGCTTTTTATCAGCTCTCTTGCAGCAGAAAGAATTCCCCATCGTGTAGTTGGAGAATTATCCTCTTTCTCTAAACCGTTGGCCCTTTTCCCACCCACCCACCTTGTGTGATCCATGCCGCTTCTTCCTATGGCCCACACAAGTAAAGAGAAGGGGAGGTTTCTTCTGCAGAACTGCTCCCGGTGACCAAGCTGACAACTTGGTTTTTGTGCTCCCTGATCCCAGTAAATAAAATAAACACCAGGAAAGCACCTCAATACTGCAAGCCAAGTCAGGCATGCACTTGCTCAGTGAATCTGAGCACATTAGGTACTGCTCTGTAGCCGTCTGAATAGTCTTTGTTGTTGTTGTTATAAAATAGATGCTTAGGCATAAATGCAGTTTGATCAACATCAAAAGAAACATTGTGGACCATGCCCCCTTCTCTTTCTTTCTCTTTCTCTATTTGAATGATGTTCTGCTGTAAATTATATGAAGAAAGCTGGCATTTTTGTGCAGCAGGACCTGTGGGGAAAATAGAATTAACAGGAAAGTAAATGAGCCGTTTCTGAGTAAAGGGACTGCCTCTCAGTGAATCCCCTGTGCTGTTCTGCAGGCGACTCTGAATGTTATTGGTCCAGAAATAACATTGCCACCTCTTGTAATTTTAACACACAGTTTGCCATGGCTAATGCTGTGATTCTTAACTCCCAAGTTGCTGGAGTTTATAATAACTTCCAGGGTTTACTGGCTTCATTAAATAGTTTAAAGGGTGTATTTGTAACTTGCAACAGTTATAAAAGGAAAACAGGACCCAAGCTAGCTCTGGGGACTGAGGTTATATAAAGAGAGGTCATAAGAATCAAACTGTTAACATAGCTTTCAATTGCCACATGATAGCAAAGCCAGTCTCACTGTAGGGAAAGAAAGGGTACTTGAGTCCTGATATTTTGATGCTCCACTGATATTTTGTGCAGTCCTGAAAATATTGATTAATACTTCCAAGGCAATGATACTCTGTGACTTGAGCTTTGAGTAGGAGAGGAGCAGCTGAACTGTGGTCCTGCAGATGTTGCTGATCTACAACTCCCATTATCCCTGGTCGTTGACCATAATAGGTAGGAATTATGGGAATTGTAGTTCATCAATATCTGAAGAGTTGCAGGTTAACCACCCCTAATATAAAACAAACCTAGACAGCATCTTAAAAAGCAGAGACATCACCTTGCCGACAAAGGCCCATATAGTTAAAGCTATGGTTTTCCCAGTAGTGATGTATGGAAGTGAGAGCTGAACCATAAAGAAGGCTGATCACTGAAGAATTGATGCTTTTGAATTATGGTGCTGGAGGAGAGTCTTGAGAGTCCCAAGGACTGCAAGAAGATCAAACGTATCCATTCTTAAGGAAATCAGCCCTGAGTGCTCACTGGAAGGACAGATCCTGAAGCTGAGGCGCCAATACTTTGGCCACCTCAGGAGAAGAGAAGACTCCCTGGAAAACACCCTGGTGTTGGGAAAGATGGAGGGCACAAGGAGAAGGGGGCGACAGAGGACAAGATGGTTGGACAGTGTTCTCAAAGCTACCAGCATGAGTCTGACCAAACTCCCGGAGGCAGTGGAAGACAGGAGTGCCTGGTGTGCTCTGGGCCATGGGGTCACGAAGAGTCGGACATGACTAAATGAATAAACAACAACAACAATATAAAACAGTGGACAGAGGTGATCAGTGGACAATGTTGGATGCTATATTGACTTCAGAAAAGAAGATGAACTATTTTGGGGGTTTTATGTTGTTGGGCTTATTTTCTGAGCAAATCCAACATGAGAAGTGAGCCCTGTGACAATGAATGTAATGAACTCAAGTTTAAAATGCAAGGTGCAAGCTTTTGAGTCTCCCTATTCTCTTCATGCTCACAGGATAAACAGAAAGCCCTCAATGTTTATCTGTTTTCTCCATGCCTGTAGAATGTAAGATGAGTTGGGGCAGACATTAAATGAGATTACCATTAGGCCATGCAGTTAAGTGTTCAAGTTACTCAAAGTCCCCACCAGGGACAGAGCAGTAAATGAAAAGCTTGGGAACACATACCGGTAAGTATCCAGATAATTCACTGACAACCTTAAATTCTACTGTGTTTGCTGACTGCGATTCTCTACTAGATCTATACTAAACCTGCATTAATCAGCACTGACAAAGGAAGATTCAAATCAATGAGCTTCACAGTTTTGATAAATGAAAGGATTTAGATAAATATTAATGAAATCCCCAATGCATCAACCCCAGGGATCTAGCAACAAGTCTAAGTCAGTATTGTCAATTAGTTTTCCAAGAACATCCTTATTAACAATGCATCAAGACATTTTCTAGTAATGCATCGAGTTCCCAATGCATACAAAGTTGAATTAACACAAGGGTATCTAAGCTGTTTAATTTTATAAGAAAAATAACCTCTATTTTCACCTGTTTGCATTGTAATTTTTTATTTCTCCAAATTAAAATATCAGGAACAGGAGGATATTTGTTAGCATCCTCCTCTTAAGATATAAAAAGTCATGCTTGTTTTTTCTAAACTGTAACCCTAGTAGGGCATAAAGTGGGCAGTTTTATGTTTAGACTTAGATGCTCTGTTAATTGGACTGCTCAGCTCACCTTTTCTATTACAACATGGGGATTAGGGATGTCTTGGTGTTCAGTCATCAATATTTTGCACTTCACAGTACCAGTTTCTGAAAATGTAAATCATGACTGAACAAATTGGCATTGGAATTGTTGTTTTGCTCAATTAATCATGTCCTTCATCTATCCAGCTGAGAACTACAATTAGGGAAAATATGTATTTTGAACACACAAACTTCAAAGAGTATGCTCTGAATGTGGCGAATAACTAGAGTTTTGAATTGTAAGATGCAGACTTATTCTGAACTCTAATTAATACTTATGTCCTCATTTTAATTTTTATTTGTTATCTCCTTCAAAATAGAAATGAAACCTGGTATATTATAGTCCGTTAATGAAGTATCCACTATATATCATTAGCATTTTATTATACTAATTTCTTTTTAAAAGCTTTCCCTTTCATAATTTGAAAATGAAATCATGCGTGCATAATTTCACCTATGGTCAACAGGCATCACCCAAAAGTTACATAATAATGCAACAAAACTCTCCCCCAGAGAGCTGCCACTGGCCTTGTTGACCAGAAATATCTTTTAGCCTCTCCACTATTAAGAAACCCAGTGCTATTTTTCTAGAAAAAGAGATGCCAGAACTCACCAGGAACACTTCCCTTGTTCTCTTATAATGACAATGGCACCCACCTGAGAGGTGCTGGAACTGAGTTCTGCCAAGTCCCAGCTGGAAAAAAGCCCCAAAGAAACCCACTGTTCACATCTGCTTCACCTAGGTCAGCTGGATTTTCCACATGAAGAGAGGAGGGGAGCTGCCACCACAAGGCCCTTTATTATGTAGCATTACTTCTGAGTAATGCTCAGCCAGCGACGCAAAGTCAGTTGTACATGAATTCAAATGGTGACCACACGCTTGAGGTGGTAGAGAATTTTGTCTACCTGAGTTTCACCATAACCTGCAATCTCTCCATCAGTGCCGAGCTAGATAAGTTTATTGGCAAGGCAGCTATGGTGATGGCTCACCTCTCCAAAAGAGTATGGGGGAATGTGGTGCTAACAACGAATACCAAGATGAAGGTCTACCAAGCTTGTGTGTTGAACATGCTGCTTTGCGTGTTCAGACCCAGAGAGCTCCCCCCTAAATAAACACACATTTGACTCAAATTTTAGTTTTGGTTTTTGGCAGAATTTAGGCCACAACTTTACTGATTACAGAAAAGTGAGTGGTGGCATAGGCTCTGGTTCGACTAGCTCCCTGCATCCTTGCAGGTAGTGCTGACCCAGGGCACCAGCATAGGTCAGCCAAGGGTGAACTCCTGAGGTAGGTGAAAAGCCCAGGAACAGACTCTGTTCACTCCCCAGATGCTCCCCTGGACTCAGGCACGGGCACAACCCCCTCTCGGGGATTGACCAAACCAAGTTGAGTCCCTGGATTCCTTTAACGGAATACCCTTCACATAGGGATGGCGAAACCATTCTCCCATCCCTATCACCTGAACCAGTGCCTATCTGCAACCTTACAAGTTGTGACGATTTGCTACGTGGCAGATGAAAACCCAAATGGCATGAGCCAATCAGCCAAATGGGGAAAATTCCTGCCGTGCCCCTGTCCCAACGACAGACGACACACGACGGCATAGCAAGCTCAAACACAAAATGCCCTAAAAGTAGGGAGAGGTGGGCGGGTGTTCCAATGCACAAGCTGAAAGAGGAAGCTCTGGGCCATGTGCATAGGTCTTCCTCTTTTAGGGAGGACACGATTTATGGAAGTGAGTCGTGGGCAACCGACAATCATCAGGAGCGGTGCCTCAACACCTTCCATATGTGTTGAACTCGGAGGATTTTGGGCATCACATGGTAGGACAATATTCCAAACAAAGATGTGCTCTCCCAAGCCCACATTCCCAGCATGTTCGAATTCCTGTCTCATCGACATCTATGCTGGTTAGTCATGTCACAAAATGAAGTTGGCAGGATCTCAGAGCTGTTTTGGAGCTGGCTTCAGACACAAGGCCAGTTGCCAGACCAACTCTGCATTACGAAGATTTCTGCAAATGTGGCATGAAGGCTGGAGACATCAGTCCTGCCATGTGGGAATCCCTTGCAGATGACCCCAGTGCCTGGAGACAGACAGTCAAATCATGAATCCACAGCAATGACCAGAGGAGAATTGACAGCTGGGAGGAGCGCAGAGAGGAGAAATGTCACGGTGCATCTGCAGCAGCCAACTGGATGACTTCCTCTGCCCCAGCTGCAACAAAACATGTCTCTCCCGCATTGGTCTCCACAGCCACAGCAAGCATTGCAACCGTCCAACAGCTTGACCTCACCCCCAAAGGCACACTCCTACATTGTCTCCCAAGACAGATGGATAGCAACAACTTCATTGTAGGCAGCAACAACAGCCAAGCACTCTGATCAGTACTTTGGGGAGCTGAGGGTGCCCCTTGCTCCACCACACACCACAATTCATGAAGCCTGCAGGGCTGCCCAACAGCCTCCTGCAGTCCAGGCACAAGGAAGGAAAAAATATCAAGGAAGTGGAGCAATCTGTAGCAATGGGATGGGGAAGAGACAATGCCTGGCATTGGGCAGTGGCAGGGACCTGACACTGGGCTGCATTGGAAAAGGACAATACCATTGTATCTTGGAAGTCGAACAGCCTAGTTCTCGAACGTCTTGGCTCCCGAACAATCGAAACCTGGAAGTGAGTGTTTTTGAACGTTCTTTTGGAAGCTGAACGTCCGGCGGGGCTTCTGCGGCTTCCGGTTGGCTGCAGGAGCTTCCTGAGGCCAATCGGAAGCTGCGCTTTGGTTTTCGAATGTTTTGGAAGTCAAACGGACTTCCGGAATGGCTTCCGTTCGGCTTCCAAGGTACGACTGTATATAGGACAAAATGTGTTTATAAAAGCCATTTCTTAAATGCCATGGTCATGACTCAGATGCCCCCACCCCAACCCAAGGCTGCTACTTGCTTTTTAAAACCCCCCAAACCAAGCAATGCCTTATAGAGCACATACTAGAAGAAGAAGAAGAGTTTGGATTTGATATCCCACTTTATCACTACCCGAAGAAGTCTCAAAGCGCCTAACATTCTCCTGGTGAGAGCCAGTGTGGTGTAGTGGTTAAGAGGGTAGACTCATAATCTGGTGAACCGGGTTCGGGTCTCCGCTCCTCCACATGAATCTGCTGGGTGACCTTGGGCCAGTCACACTTCTCTGAAGTCTCTCAGCCTCACTCACCTCACAGAGTGTTTCTTGTGGGGGAGAAAGGGAAAAGGAGATTGTTAGCTGCTTTGAGACTCCTTCGGGTAGTGATAAAGAGGGATATCAAATCCAAACTCTTCTCCTTCTCCTTCTCCTTCTTCTCCTTCTTCTCCTTCTTCTCCTTCTCCTTTCCCTTCCAGATTACGAGTCTACCGCTCTTAACCACTACACCACACTGGCTCTCTAGTTTTAGGTGATCATGTTAAAAGAAGAAAAGCTTTTAGTGCTGGGCTTGTTGCTGGCTACTAGCTAGCATGGCCCTACCTCCACAGTCGGAGGCAGCCTTGCTTCTGAATACCACTTGCTGGAAGCCACAGGAGGGGAGAGAGCTCTTGTGCTTAGATTCTGTTCACAGGTTTTCTACAAGCATCTGGTTGGCCACTGTGAGAAGAGGATGCTGGACTAGATGGGCCATTGGCCTGATCAGCAGGTTCTTCTTAGGTTCATGTTCAAGGAGTTGATTTTGCTGCTGGGCTTCTGCTGTATTCGTTGTACCTGTTGTGTTACATTTTGGTTGCGCTGGCTTCGAGCAGAGTTTTATTATGTTTTGAAATGTTTAACTTTTTTTTGCTGATAGTATTATGGTTTTCATAATTATTGCACACTGTTTTGGATGCCACTGCTGTGCAAGAGAACGTAGTATTTTGTTTAGGTTTTCTAAAAAAGAAATTAACGCAATAAAAATCCATCCTTTTTATCTATGCTCCTTCCCCCTCCAAGTTTTACTATGGATACTGTAGTTCTTTGTTAAGAGCCCAGTGCTGTCAAACTAGTCTGAATGCACTAACATTTTGCAAAAAAAAGTGCATGGCATGGCAGTAAAGAAATATTTTCTCAATTTGGGAATTATAGAAAAGAAAGAAGACAGTCCCTTGTCTCTATGGCAACAGGCTAGTGTGCCTAGCTCAGCTGTTTTTCTCCTTTTAAAAATCATTTTATAACCAGTGTATGTGTGGCATGGAAGCATCTCTTTAATGTTGTCAAGAATAGAAGAGTGTGAAGCAGTGATACATAATGAAAAACACACCTAAAGAATTAAAAGGGAGAGAAAGGAAAAGTTATGTACTATAACTTGCGACTACAAAAGCCAACTTTGTGAGCCCTGTGTTTTACTAAAAAGGTGGTTGTTGAATGTTATGGTTCCCTACTTAAGCTAGGTATGAACGGATTTCCCCAGCTCCATTTCATTATTCTTTGGCAGGTTGGCTCTCTTCATTTTGCTCTGTCTGTCTTCCAGCTTTAATTAATTTCAGAACTGGCACATAAGCAGTTTGCCTCCATTTGTTCATGTTAATTGATTGTTGCATTAGAGTGCCATCTCGGCTTGTAGTATTGAGGTTGGATGGACAAGCTGAGGACGACTCTGACTGTGTCCACCTGGGCTTTTGATATAGCATTATCCAGCACAGGCTCAGGGGTTGAGGAGGAGGAAGTGCCCCATGGAAAGTTGGCTTAGCCAGGAGAACTGGATAGAGGGACACTTCTAAACAAACCAAGAACGAATCTGGAGTGAGACAAACCATGAGCCAGGGTAAAGATGACAAGCTAAAACAAACCATACATTAGCTCAGAAAAGCATAGCAGCATCAGGCCGGGAAAAGGAGCCATCAGCCACAATAGGAGCATACATGCTTGCATTCATGCTAATATCTGGTTTGTCTTAGCATTATGTACCAACTGTGTTGGGGGTTTATGAGGTTTTATATTATATATCTCCATCTGGCCCCAAGTGATGGGCAGGTTAGAAATATGATATCTCCTGGAGAGGAGACTTGCTCATTCAGGGTACTTAATGTTGTAATTGGGTCATTGGCCACATTCATACATGTAAGAAAAACTTATTGGATTCCCACTAGAAAAGGTAAATCTGGATTAAATGTGGGGAAACAATCGGTTGGCATTTAAATGCCAATTATGTGTGGAAGTTATTGTTTTAAGAACCATGAATAATGTTCAGAAATTAAATTCATGGGCAGCAGTATGAATCTGTTTTGTTCTTTATTTGTTCAGATGGTACATCCGTCAACAGTAGAATAATAAAAAGGAGATTCCATCACAAAAGATTAAGGAAGATTGTGTTACATGCCAAGGGAAAGGGAGGAAATCATATCTGTTATAAGTTTCCACAACAAAGAAGTTGGCTTCATGTGATTAAATTTCTATTTAAAATGCAATGTCAATAAAGAGGAAAAATGATCACAATTACATACTGAAGGCTATATTAGATTTCTCACTTGAATGTTTAACTCCCAGCCATGCCAACATCCTGCACCATATGAACTTGATTCAATTGACTATTGAAAGCAATGGCCAGCTGATTGTAAAACAAAGTTTTAATTGTACCAACCTGTCTTTATTTTCTTTCCTCCTCTGTCACATTTATGGCTGCAGTTTCGAGGTTGTTTTCAGACCATCTGCTGCCCATCCTTTGGCCAAAACATCCTTCAGTCTGGTTCCTACTAATGTGTGCACTTTCTCCATCTGATTTCTTTAGAAATCTGTTTGCGATTCTGTCAGCACTTATGTAAATGCTTGTAAAGCAAGTAGTGCAAAATGTAATGGAACTTGCTAAGATTTAAATTAGTTTCCTGTTCTACATCCAGCTCTCAGTCAGGTAAAAACCCAGGCATGTTAGAAGTTCCGAAAGGCTTTGAAAAAGTACTTGATGCTGAAAGAGGTGAGGTGTTTTAAGTCTTAATAAAGGCGCCATGATGTCTGACATCTTTTGAGATTACACAGGGAGTGAAAATACAATTGCAGGCTTGTCGCTGCTTATAAAATAGATTGTCCTTCAGATGGAAGGATGCTATATTGTTCTGGCAAAAGCTTCAGGGCTGGCTTCTGCTATCTCTTACTTTTCAGATATTATAGACAGTTGTACAGCTCTAAAGAAAATAAAGTTAGGGCTCTTCTCAACCAGGCACACTGTTTAAGTGTTTTTATTTAGGAAATTGAGATGTGTGGGCTGGTTCACCTCAGGGGCGGAGCTACCTGCCCTAGTACCGGGAGCAGTGTGGGGGCAGGGCTAGCCAGCCCTTAGGGGTGGGGCTAGCCGCCCGCACGGGGGAGGGACCGCTAGGGCAGCATTGTCCCTAGTGGCCCGCTGCCCGCGCAGCGAGTGTCTGGGGGCTCCACCCACGCAGCGAGCGTGGGGTGAGGTTGGCGGTAGAGCGGTGATGTCACCCACCCTCATGGCTGACACCCGGTGTGAACCGCACCCCCCACACCCACCTTTCTCCGCCAGTGGTTCACCTGTACCAGTATTTTCATAATCCCATTGACAGCATGGTCCACCTTGCTCTCGGTCTCTTTTTGTTGGTTGAGCTGACTATGATCAAGTGTCAACATGTAGTGTAAAATTGTGTGGGACCCCTTTCTGCTACTGCTGTCTTAAATGACTTCTTGAGCTCCCTCTCTTAATATGCTTTTTGATATGTTCCAGTAGCAACAAGATTTTAGAACACTTAGACTTTGGATTCAGTTTTGCTTTCTCTTTTTTCCTGTTGAAGGGCGGGGGGAAACTTCTGCCCCTGAGATTTAGCAAATAAACTGTTGGGCGGGGGGCAGAGGGGTGGTCACTGTAAAACTTGACAAATCAAGATTGCTGTGCAAGATCTACTTCAGTTCCCAGAACAGCCCTTGTAATAGCAATAAATGAATAAATAAAATCAGCACACTAGTCTATTAGCACAGAATGGCTCTTTTGCTTAATTAGCATGGCTGCAATTAGTCATGCACTTGGCTAAGTAGCATTCGCTCCAGGTGAGTGATGGTCCCTCCTGACAACCACTACAACCTTGGAGCACTACTGTGCGAGTACGTATGCTGTGTGAGTAAAGAGCCTAAGCCGGAAGGAGTGTCACAGTGCTCTGGGAAGTGAAGATAGCAGCACTTGAGGGCACACCAAGCCCTCTCTGTTCAGCAGACGCCTTTATGATAGCACTGGAGTATACTTTCCCAGGCACCCGGGGGGTAAGATAAACAGAAAACAGAAGAAACTGCAAACAGTGGATGGAAGTGGAATTAGTTGTAAACGCATGTGTGTGTTATTAGCTTCATTGTGATGCATGCAATAGAGTCAAGTAGACAGATGTCACACTGGGTATATTGCCTTCAAATTTCTCCTGAGTCAAGCTCAGAAAAGAAAGTTGAGGGCTTGTAAAAGACAATTTCAAATGAAAACCCACAGCAGCGTTGAAGTGGCAGCAAGGCTGGGATTTCAGAGGTGCATTAACAGAGCCAATCCAACACTAGTGCACCTGCACAGCCCTGATCATCTGTCATCTCCTGCCCCAGACCACCCTTGTATATGGCATCAACACTGCTGTTGGGAGGGCAACGGCGCAACGCTATTCCACTGTACTTGGGAGAAGCCTACGCATTCACTCAGGAAGAAAAGAATCAACACTACATGTTGTGCCTGAGCACATCATGTGATCCATAACTTATGAGCCCTGGCTGCTAAATGGTGCAAACTTCACCGTGAATCCAGAGCGCTTATGATTACAGCTCACTTTACCTTTGATGTCTGGATTACTATCAGGAAGATCGTATGGTCCCTGAGACGTTGGTTTGCCTTGCTATATAAAGTGTATAAAACAAGCCCAGCGAATGCTTGTGACGTGCACTATTTTTTGCTTTACCAGTTAGCCTTGAATGCAGCCTAGGGTGGCCTGCAAATCCCTCCCACTCAGCGTGATTGAAATCTGAAATGGCATCCTGGGATGTCTGGCAGTGTGTTTTCCTTTGTGCATTATAAATTATGTGGGGGAATGAAAAGCTCTGTTCATGCTGGCAGAAGAATTCCTCCACTTTAACTCTTTCCTTGACCTCTGCCTTACAGCGAGAAAGGAAAGATGGAAGGAGAAAAATTATTTATTGCTACAGCTCCCAAGTCTTACATTTCTACTGTTGGAGAGGTGCAGCAGGCCAGGAGAGAGTCACATGCTAATAGACTTTTCACATATCCCTAGGATTAGCTCAGGGGAAATTGCCTGACCTGTCTGTACCTCCATAAAATAGAGAGCCTTAGCTAAAAGGCACTATATTTTTGTTGACTGAATGTGAGGTTGGAAGACCTCTATATATAATACTGGCATTCAGTAAGATTACTTTGAGTGCAAAATATAAGCCCTTTCTTGTATTTTGTGGTCATCACATTCAATACTCCTCATCCCAAACTCCCCAATTTCATTCACATTCTCTGTCAAATGCAAAGCAAGCAATTGCTCCCTGTCTGTGTATCCGCAGTGCTGTCTTACAAAGCTTTGATTCTACCACAGACTTTTTTATTTTCCTTCTCCCAGGTTGAGAGGACCCAAAGTCATCAATGTGCAGGGATTTTTTAAAATATGAAATGGAAACATGGGAGAAATGCCCACACACATTCTCATAGAAGAGCCTGGGGAAGTCCCATGAGCATGTGGTTCTAGATTCCCTCTCTCTGATATTTATAATTGATAAAATTGGTACAGCAAAAATATTGTGTTCTAAATAACCTCACAGGGCTGTGAGAATTAAATGAGGGAAGGGGAGAACCAACTCAGTCAGATGGGTGTGGTATAAATAATAATAATAATAATAATAATAATTATTATTATTATTATTATTATTATTATTACCACCATGCATGCCACCTTGAGCTCCTAGTAGAAAAGGCATGATATAAGTGCAATAAATAAACAAACATTGGATTTTATCAAGACTCCAGAAATTGTGGTCCATTGACCAACTGTGGTCTGCAAGCTTCATCCAGGTGGTCCACAGTGTCTCTGTGGAACTGTAGTTGAAGATGGGAGAATGAATACCCATTAAAGATTCATATTGATTTTAATTTCTATTGCTTCTTTTATATTGTATGTTCTTGTTCAAATTCTATGGAATTCAAATTATAGTACAATAAAATACAACTTATTTTTAAAAAATCAATAAAACATACAGCATATAGGTCAGCTCATCACAGTTGCTACAACAGGCAGAAAACAACCATTTAGTAGTCCACTAAGACACTCAGCTTTTTCCCCAAGTCTTCTGAGCATGAGGTATTTGGGGACCACTGTTGTTTTATTTTGTTCTGTTAATACTGTGTATACAAATTCAGTACACTGATGAATACTTGGGAGCCCCTTTGTTGAAAGATGAAGCTCATGCTTGGTATCAGCCTATTCCCCACCTCTAAAATAGGGATAATAATCTCACAAAGAATGAAATAGATGCTGTCTTGCTTTGGCATGATGGTCAAAGATGTATCCCATCCTTCTTGCAGCACCACTGCTCCAGCATTAAGGGAAATGCTTGTGTAAGAGCTCTGTGGGAAATAAGAGGGGTGGTTATTAAAGAAGTGGAGTCTGTAGGAAGTCTGTCAAAACAGGCACATAATCCCGCTGGCCAAGTAAAAATGTTCAGTAAGAATGCTCAGAGTCTGAGCTTCTGTTTATTTTTTAATGGCAAGTGAGGTAGAGTTCTGTGACTCAACTTTAGTTGTTTAGCCTAAGATGCCCTAGGCTTGGCTTCCCTGAGGTAGTTCAGCGTACTCTCTGTTGTGCTAAAGAGCCAGAATATTTAATCAATGTTAGCAGCAGCCGTATGTTCAGTCATCTATATATCTAACCGATGACACCATAGCGGTTGGCCATCTGGCCGAGGGCGTCTTCTTCAGTTCCAAAATATTGTAAGATGAAATTTTAAACTGTGCAAGTCTCTTCTTGTACAACAGATATGGCATGAGCATAAGATCAGGCAACCAATCTGCTGTATAGATGAAATTATAATATAATATAATATAATAATATAATATAATATAATATAATATAATATAATATAATATAATATAATATAATATAATAAATGAATATTAATATAATTAATGTTAGTGGCATACTGCTACATAGTTAAAACTCCCTGGGGGAGCCGCATTTTATGACGTGCAACTTCCTTTCCTTGAAACAACTTAAAGTGGTTGGTTTCTCTTCTTCTTTTTATTCAACAAGACACACATCAGACTGAAATGTGTAATTCTGTCCTCGTTTTCCTTCCATCTGCCACTTTCAGAATACATAATTAATGGAAGGGTTTTTTAGTGTTAAAACCGTGGCAGCTTGATTATTCTTACTGTGAAACAGTACATTTAAATTATATTACAGGATGTGATAAGACCTTGTCTTGATGATTTTATCTTCCATCTAAAAATAACAGTGCCATACTCATGAAACGTAATGACATGGAGTTAGCTGATGTGAAGTGAGTTATTGCCTGGTTCTTTATATTTCTGGAGAGAAATGCACATCCGGTTGTATTAATAAATTGAATAATTGAATAATTTTTATCATTGAAACTGAGACGGAGTCTATTTTCTCACATTGTTACGGTGTTATTACTGGCACCAGCATAATGCAGAGAAGTGATGAGGCCAGCCTTGTAGAATAAATTGATTATGATTAGTTGGGATGAAGTCCATTACTATGTTTCCCGGTTCCCTGTGGCAAATGCCCTTTGCTGTTTCGTGATGCCAGCCCTGAATCTGTATACAGCCAGATACGCTTTTTAATGTGGCACAGATTTCATGGGATTGCGATACATTAAAAGACCATGGGAGAGTGGAGGGCAGTGCCCCCATACCTGCACCTGGGAGGTGGTGTCATTTTGTCTTTTTGCTTCAGGTGCAAATAAGATACCTCTCCCCATTAATGTATTAATGTAACGTAAAGAACCAGTGTTTGCATGTCATGTATGTTGACTATACCATGAAACAGATTTTGACATTGCAAGTGTGTCAAAAATAGTTATGCTGCTATTCTTTTATATTATTGAATTTTAGAATTGTATTTTGTTATTTTTTGTTTGTGAGCTGCCAGGATAACACTATTGTTGGATGTCCTAAATAAATGCTAAAATAAATATAAAATAAATGCTTTAAATAAAAATGAAGGAGCAGGGTAAGGAACTGCCACATCTCCAGAACTGCTGGCAGAAATGGCTGCTTAATATTGCTTCTTGGCAAAGTATGGTGCTAGTAAAAATTCTTGAGGTGTTTGCAAGTCCAAAATCAGAAAAAGTAAATAATAATAGCACTGCTGGAAACTTGTCTCTATTAGTGATTTTTCTTTAATAGGAAGAAACATGTATAGATGATGATGACAATGATGATGATGATGATTTAGAGGGAGATGTTTTAAAAGCCTTGATAAAAGGTTGTGGTGGCGTAGCTGAGAAGGAAATCCCTTCCAAATACTCATCCAGTTGACATTCCTAGCATTGTATTTCCCCCCAATACTGGACCCAGCCATTCCCCATATATTTCAGAAGACTATTCCAGAAAAAGCAACGTGCAAACTGCAGTGCTGTGAAGATCCTAGTGCAAACACTATTGATTTCCGCAGAGTTTGCTCCATCGCAACAATTCTAAAAACCAATCTGTGCAGCCGAAAATCCCGAACCTGCTACATCGTTCGAAAATCTTTGTATTTAGTTCAATTGGTACTCTTCCATCCATCAAAGTGAAGAGACATGTTTGTTCACGGGAAGCAACAACTGAACACTAATGGCTCGAGACATTAGAATTAAAGTGGCTGAAACACTTCAAAGAAAAGAGCAATCTTATCATAGCTGCCAGGTGATGGATGAGATGACATCAGAAGTCTTTTCATCTGTAGCAGGTATGGTGACCTATCCATCTTGCAAGTCTTGCTGCCCAGTATTGGTCACATTTTCTCCTTGGAGGCCTCTAATGAAGACACAAACAGAATTTGAACTAAGGCTATACTAGCATGCTTGACAGGGACAAAATCCAAGTTCTGTGAAGTTTTCTTCAAAAAGCTTACAGTATGTATTTCTCAAAAAGAGAAAACATACTTGTTTGCTACAGAGAAGCACGTGGTCAGAATTTGATTACCTTCCTTGTTCTTTTTACCATTTTTGTAAAAAAAAATTAAGGGTGTAATCCAAGGTGAAGAACCATAAGAAATAGTATGAGTATCACTCCAAATGATAGAAATAGAGGCATGTTGACAAGATGACACTTGTCACAAGCTGACAGAAAGCTCCATCATGGTAGTAGATGTCAAATCTGTGAGATTCTGCTGGTATAGCAGGGGACAGCAGTGTGTGGCGAGGGCAGATGTCAATACTGGGTGCACCATAGCGAAAGCCTCTTTGTTTCCTCAACTTGCCAGCCAAAATGGTGTGACTCTGTGCCGGCCCTGAGGCTGGCAACGTTAATGTGGGATGGAAGAAGAAAAGGCCACTCCCATCTCCTGCCCCAAACACAATGAAAAGACAGGTCAATGAGAGAGAGAATGTAAACGTATAGTAAGATTTATCTGTTCAATTCTCAATACAATGTTAAAAATGGACACAAAGAGTTTTACTATTTACAAAATGTTAAAAGAATTTTGAAAATTCTTAACTGTCCAGTTAGACCTATCCGCTGCAGAACAGAAGTATGTCTGAGTGTATGGTTTGTCCATACATTAGACTGCTAACATTAGCATAAATTATTCTTTTCTTAAAACTGATTTTTTAAATATTTTTTAAATATTTCAATGATATTATTATTATTATTATTATTATTATTATTATTACTATTACTATTACTATTATTATTATTAAATACACCACTTATATGCCAAAATCACTTTTATTATATTTTAGGACTAAATGTCTCTTTTTCAGTGATGGTGAACTTTATTAACGATGGCCTCAAATTCTACTATTAATCTCAAACTGGCCTATTCAAAAATGTTGCATGAATGCTGAATGTTTTGTTATTTCATTAACTGAATTACCATCTAAATGTGAATGGCTTATTGTAAGTTTCTTTAGTGGAGCAGTTAGTTGAATAATATACTCAATAAATATTTTAAGTCATATATATGACCACTCAAACATTTGCATACCTGTTGTCAAAATCTATCCTCCCATTTCTTAACTTTTCTTCCTCTGTGAAAGAGACTTCCATATTTCTGCCTCATTTGAAGGGCACTTGAGAATTCCTCTAGACTTTTGAACTTACCTAATCATTGTGAGATGGTCATGGGTAGTGCCTATGTTGCTGGTTTCCCCTCAGTAAGCATTTCGCCAGCACTCTGTAACATCCCTGACTGCCCACACTTTCTGAAATGAAAAAAACCATGGGAGGAGTTATCCCATACAGTGGTGGACCTACCTTTTCGGGGCCCTGAAGCTTGACCTGTTCTGGCGATCCCTTCGCAACCAGCTATGAGGTCTGGGTAACCACTGATGTCTTCTTCAGTGGGGTTGTTCCATGACGGATCACCCTACGTTTCCAACATCTGTGCTACTGACTCTCAAGCTTCGGGGTTGATGAAATATATACAACAACAAAAATAACCAATCTGTGTCGTGCCTCTCAAATTGGCTTCCATAGACCCCAAATTTTGAAGCAATCTGGACTAAAGTCACTTCTGGGGCCCTTCCAGAATTTGGAGCCCTGGAGCTTAAACTTCATTAGTTCCATTGTAGATCTGCCCCGATTCCATGCAGAGTGCAGACCATTAGTGAAATGTCTGATAGAATGAAAGAAAGAACACTCGCAAACATCCCTCAGCAAGGTTGCATTGAACATAGGACTAAGGAGAACACTCTATTAGCAGAAGTATTTCTGCTTGCCCAATGAACCAACCTCCCCTCCTCTCCCCTCTTGTGCCATTCTGGGGGTTTTCCTGACCCTCCAGATCAGATTTGGGCAGAGTATAGGCAGGGCACGGGATGCGGGAAGGAATCACCTCGCCGGCTTTCACTGATGCAGTAATTTAGTTGAATATGGCCCTAAGGTAGATGCAATAAAAAGCTGTATCCCACATATGAACATTTCACTGAAATTTCACTCTCCCCTTTAATAACTTTTGGGAAATTGTCAGCCCAGCACTGGTTCATATCTTATAATATGTATTGTATTCATGGGAGATTTTGTAATAAAGTAGAGATTTAGCTATGATATTTCTTTTTATTTTCTCGTGGTTTTCTTGGAATAAAGGATGCTGGATTAGGAAAGCCTTTGGTGTGATCTGTGGGGATTCTTCTCAGGCTTTGTGGTGAGCAACAGAGTTGCTGCTTTGTTCCAGGTGTCTTTCAAACTTGGAAACATATGACAGTTCCTGTGACTCCAACATCAATAGGAGAGGTGCTGACAGTGGCGTAGCGTGGGGGGTGCAGGGGGGCCGGCCGCACCGGGCGCAACATCTGGGGGGGGCGCTCGCACTCGCAGCTCTCTGCCCCTACCTGGCTCACTCACTCTCTCTCACTGCAGTGCTGGCTGTGCGAATCCGATCCGAGCCGCTGGGTTGCCGCCCACTGTGGAGGGGGTGGGTGCCAGGCGTGCGGTGCGGAGAGAGAGCGAGGGACTATCTGGGGAGGGACAGTGCAGCGGCCGCCCAGCGCAGCGCTGGCGGAGAGCACCACACCCGCCCCGCCCAGGCAGCAGCAAGAAGAAGCTGGCAGCGGCGGCAGGTTAGGGGTTAGGGGGCGCAAATTACTTGCCTTGCCCTGGGTTAGGGGGCGCAAATTACTTGCCTTGTCCCGGGTGCTGACAACCCACGCTACGCCGCTGGGTGCTGAGGAGGCAACAGAGCTCTACTCCGCTGTGCTCTCTTCATTTCACTGCTGCCAAGAATTTCTACCAAGAAATGAGAAACTGGCCCAGCATCTTAAGTCAATGGTGGGCCCTCTGCAAGGCTCTAGGCCTCAGTGGATGCCCTACCATGCCAACCCTTGATGTCTGCCCTACCTGTCTCCAACACCATATGGCAGAACACTTGCCACATGTCGAGAGTTGGCTGCGAAGGGGTAGGAAGACATCTGATGGCATAGCTATACTCCTTCCTTGAACCCTTTTGGGCCTGGTGGTTCTTGTGAGGCTGGCAAATCCTGCGTTGGCTTTAGATAACAGCACATTTTGCCTGACAGATAAGGCAGATGCCAGTTGTCACTGTTAGGTTTGGCAAGAACAGGATTCTACAGCAGCACAAACCCTGTGGGATCAGGCACTGCTTATGTACATGTTAATATGGAGAAATAGTTGCAATAGTTTGGTGCCTAGCAAGGATAGTTCATCTACTGGATAGTTGGTCTGCCAATCACTGAAGACCTTTGGATGTTGTTACTGAAACAACCTGATTGATTCCACATGTAACATATCCTCTACTTAAGGGAATCCTTGGCAAGACCTCAAGAATTCGGGTGTGCTGCTTATCACTATGAATGTACTTTGGCAGAAACTTGCACAATACTTGGCTACAACATTTACAAGCTAATGCTATAAATCTCACACAGGCCTGAGCATTAAAATCTAACTAATGTGACTTTTGAAAATGTTGCCAGTCTGAATGCTTTTGTAAAATCCCAGCTAAAATTGCGGTGAGAATATATGTCTTTAGAAATTACCTGCAGTTTAAACCAACATTTTGCCGCAATTAAAATAAGCCATCCTTTTGTCTCCTTTGCTAGTGACTTAAAGCACTCATAAAAGAATACCTGGAATGAAATAAAAGCCATTTCATTAAATAAATGTGGTTGTTTTGCTGTTGTAAAGGATATAGTATACAAAACAACAGCATTATCAAGCAGTTTGCCTTATCAATCTTTTATTGCTAAGTTTCAGGTACAGTAAGGAATTCTGCTACCTGCCACTGATCCTAAAAGCACTTTGTAGGAAGTGTTGTGTCAACTTTGGTTTGACTCTTCTCCCGGAAATGTTTTATGGCTTACAGCGCAACTCTCTTTCGCTATACTCTCACTCCATTTGGCATGCAAGCTGATATCGTCTCAAGCAGCAATATTTAGCTGAGCCATTTCCCTCTTTTTCATTTGCAGAAGAGCTGCTCCCTCTGCTGAATTTTCTGTGGACAGAACACGTCATCTGATGTCTTTCCTTACCATGCTAGGCCCCAGTCCTGACTGGAATGTAGGGCTTTCGGCTGAAGATCTCTGCACCAAAGACTGCGGATGGGTCCAGAGAGTAATTCAAGATCTGATACCATGGGATGCTGGCACTGACAGTGGTGTTACCTATGAGGTATCGTAAATATTGATGCTACTCGCTTAGAACGTGCGCTGTTTAACAGAATAGAAACATGCAGGGGCTTGTGAGAGATGTCTGCTCTAAAGGACATGGTACAAATATCTAAGACAAATAAATTAAATGTGCATGCTTGCTGTTTCTGGTCAAGTGTTGCAGCACCAGTTAGAAGCAGGGAAAGCTGGAGTGGCAGCTTCTTTTTTCTATAGAAAGGGTGCCTCTAGAAAAGATTAATGCAGGTTGTTAGTCAATATGTGTTGCTTTGTCTCCCATCTGTCAAAAGTGCTAGATATCCTTGTGGGAGACTAATCAAGAAAGTATCTTGCTGTGGGCAACACCAATGAGCCCTGATATTAGAATTTCACCTCCAACATTTCTCCGATGAAAATAGGGACGTCCCATTCCATAATGATAATTTTGCTATTTTTACCCCACACATCTTACTGGGCTGCCCCAGCCACCTGGGGCAGCTTCCAACATATATAAAAACACAAGTAAACATTAAAAAAACTTCCCTATACAGCATTGCCTTCAGATGGCTCGGGGCTCGAATAACTCCATATCCTCCAACATTTCTCCAATGAAAATAAGGACATCCGAAGGAAAAGTGGGATATTCCGGGGTCAAATTAGAAACTGGGATGGCTTCTCTAAATCAGGGATAACCCTAGAAAATAGGGATACCTGGAAGGTCTGATACTTTGGTTTCTGTTCAGGAGTAGCATCCAAGAAATAGCAAGGGAAGGGAAAATAATTTATTATCACTTGTGAAATTTCTGGAGGCTTCCTTTCTGTTTGTTTTGCATATCCTACTGGAGGCCTTGCCCACTGCAGTTTGAACATCCACACCACTTGGCTGCTGATTAATAACTGCTACTCTTACTCTTACATGCAGAAATAAGTTTTGCATGGAAATTGTTTCTAAAATGGATTCCTAGACCAGAACTTCAAATAGTTGTATAACTCATGGTATTGTTCCTGTGAAGTTCTGCCATTCTAAAATGTTTATTACACTTTATCCTGTCCTTCCTCCACACAGCTCAGGGTGACCTCTGTGGTCTTCCTGTTAACATCACAGCAGCCCTGAGACATAGGGTCAGTCCAGTCCACATAGGTCAATCCAAGGCTGTTTTGTTCCTATGAATTAACTTTGACAGTCATGGTTTCCCCACAGAATCCCCTTTCCCAATGATTGCTTGCATCAGCTTCCATGGGTCCTCCATCTCTCAGGTGCCTGTCATGAACCAGAAGGCACTCTGTGTCCTCACACACCATGCTTTTTCTGGATTGACCTAACCACCACTTGTACACTGCCGCTAGGAAATAGTAATGATAAGTATGCAGCTGCTGGTTACATCCCCTCCAGTGCTGGCTGTGAATGTACAGTCCTTATGCCAGAGTATTTGAGTGTGGGAAAATTTAAATGCAGGACTTTAACAGAAGCAGTGTGTTAGTGTAACATAAGGCAAAGAGTATCCCCTGAGTAGTGCACGTATAATAGCTTCTGTGTAAGTAAAGAATCAATACATTGTAATTAAACATTGGGCAGGCTCTTGTGGAGAGAGGGAGAAAGTTGGATCTCAAATCAAAACCCTTTTATGTAATTTTATGTGAAGAATTTCTTATTCATTTGATCAGTCTTGAGAGACTAAACATCCTATGTCCTTATCACTAGAGGAAAAGATTACTACTTAATTTGCTTCTTTAAGTGGGAAATGGACAATATACTTTGTCCATTGGATGCTTGGATGCTTCCTGGCATATTTATTAAATATCATTATTCTTATCCAGTATGGGTACATGCTGGCTCTCTGCTGAGCATACAAAAGAGTGGAAGCAGAGCATCTCATTCTTTACAATGTAGGGGGAATCTTCCATGTGTAAAAATGCCACAAAAATTGTCGTACATATATATTGATCCTCAAAAAGATATTCTGTTTCCTATACCTTTTCCAGCTACACAAATTAGAAACCAAGGGTCTTTTTTTTAATTTCAACACAAAGAATATGTTCAAAGAGTAGTAAGGGACTCTAATATTCCAGTGACAGAAGCAAGCGATTTTGAATGCAGTCTGTTGAGTATGCACTGAAAATAATTTGTTCCAATTTATGTATATCCTTGCTGAGATAACTAGTGCCATGTGCTGTTTTCTACCCAAGGCTCCTCCAGAACAGTGTAGACTTTATTTCCATGACTCACCACAGGAACTCTGCTATCTTACTGTTCTGTCATTGTATTGCTCTGTGTGGTCTTATCAAACTTCCTGCCTACTATCATTTTGTGCTGTTTAGCGGAATTATTGTTTTTCAAGCATGCTATTGCCTTCCCACTGAATGTTGTTCTTCAAGATTCCACCCCCCTCTCCTTCCCTGCATGTTTTTCTCATTTTATGGTTTACTATCCTGCCTCTTTTCCAAGTCCATTTCCTACCACAGGTCAACAACTCCCAATTTACTACCCCGGAATTACACAAGGCATTGTTTACTTTCTTTTATGGTCATTAATGAAGATGTCAGCAGAAACCAGAACTAGCACACTTGTGAACTAGCATAACAGTTTGTCATTACCCTTTAAAACAGGGTCGAAAATAATGAGGACAAACCAATCTGGAAATTCATCAAAAAATAAATAAATACAGTCATACCTTGGTTCTCAAATGGAATCCGTTCCAGAAGTCTGTTCGACTTCCGAAAACCAAGGCTTGGCTGCAGGAACTTCCTGCACTCAATTGGAAGCCACGGAACCCCCATCAGATGTTCAGCTTCCAAAAAACGTTTGCAAACCAGAACACTTACTTCTGGGTTTGCAGGGTTTGGGGGCCAAAACGTTCGAGTCACAAGGCGTTCAAGAACCAAGGTACGACTGTAGATGCATTTTTCTATCTTAACATATCTTACTGTATCATATACTATACAATTACATTGATGCTGGAAGCCTATTGCTCTCTAACTAATTGACTTGTTTGTATTGACTTTTGACACTGAAACAAAGTTATCATTACACAAATCCTTGAGTTGGGTTTGCAGACTGAGTCCTATGGATTGGTTGTATTTGCAGCAGGAGACCACATCCAGAAAGATACATCTGTATTTGTTATAATTCTACTTAACCAATCTCTGTTAGTTCTGACTGATGAGCATTTGCCAGGGTGGGGTTGCAGAAGTGTAAATCAGGTTGAATTTGCCTTAAAGAGGTATGTGTGTTGGGGGAGGGGGAAAGCAACCCTATTTTATTTTATTTTTAATAAAATAGAATGCTTCCGGTAATCAATTTCGGCTTCATATAGGATATAAATTTTAGAAATAAGAAGTTGATACTGAATCCATTCTATTATTAACAGACCAAGATGGCTGAAGGCTCTTTTTCTGCTTCAGACTTTTAAACACCCCACATTCATTTGCAATCGTGTGAGACTCTCCTGGCTAGGAATTGAAGGATCTGACAATTTCTATCTGTTTTTAATTTTTCCCATCTTAAATTTTTGCAACAATTTCATAAGAATAAACCTATGAAAGTTCTTCAACATTTTTGTGTGACTTTTTCCTATTTAACGCATTTTTGTATGCAGTTTTCACTACATAATGAGCACATTTTTTGCAAGTGATTTCTCCCAGTATAGTGCATTTGTGTGTGTTACTTTCAGTACTATATTCATTTTTATGCACTTTTGCCCCTAATATATGCATTCCTGTGACATTGTTTGGTAGAAGAACGGCATCACAAAATTCAGAAAAGGGTGGCTTTTGAAGGAGGGTTGTGTTTCCATTCTCATATTGTTATGGAAATTCGGGTGTTCCCCCACCTCACCCTACCCCACCCCACAACCTTAATATGGAAAGTGGGAATTAAATGGGAACTGAATCAAATTTCTTCCCCTTCCCTACTTCAAATACAGACTTCAAGTCTGGCATCACTTTCCGGAATGCCCATGTATGTGGCCACATGACACAATGGGCATTCTATGAAGTGCTGTCAGGATGGAAGCCTTTGCGAAAAGAGTTCTGCACTCCTCCAAGTGTAAGCGGCGGTCTCTGAGGTATTACCTAGTAAGTTAAGAGCAACCATTCTGCCCCACAAAATTTCACAAAAATTATCCCATTCTCCATGAAAGAGGCCAGGGTTGGGAAACCTCTTCTGTAAGGAGCAAAGGGTTTCATGAGAATAATAGGTGCAGTTCGGCACAGTTTTAGTCTAGAGCTGGTTATTGCCTATATAATGCTGAAATACAGTCCTGATAATCTTCTGTTGTTCTTTTTGATTCCACGATGTAAATCAGTCCACTTGCTTATCCATCCAGTTTCTTAAAATAAAATCCAGCTGCATATTGCTTGTCTTCTGACAATTCTGTGGAATGTGGTGGGGTTTTTTAAAACTGACTGCCGAACTAATAAAAACAGTAAAAATTATCTGTCGTAGAAATAAAAAAGCCCGCTGCAGGTTCCTAGTGGATGAGTCAGAGCTGATCGTGGCAGCAAAGCCTTTAGCCAGATATTTCTCACAGTTTCCTAGACAAAGCAAAGGGTCCCTGTTCTTTATGTTCTTCTGCCACCTGCCTGCATGCTACAGTGATGCTGCAAAAGAGGCTTTTAAGAAAGCTTGCAATGCCAAACGTCTGGTGTTATAGAATGAGCAGAAGCTAACTGATAAAAGCCAATTTATAGTATATATTCAGGTGGATCTTTTCTCCCCTTTGTGCTTTAAAGTTGTGGTGTTTTTTTGTTTTTTTTAATGGCTATGGTTTTAAAGCAGGGGTGGGAAATCGTGGCCCACAGGCCTTATGAGGCACACACAGCTTCTCTGTTCAGTTTTCTGCCCCTGTTCTCAAGCCTCACTCCCATTAGCTTTGCCTCCATGGTACCATTTCCTGTAGCCGTTACCTTCCCCCCACCCACCCAGCCTCGCCAACGCTGGAAACTGGAGCATGGCAAAAAATAAGGAGGGCTGTGAGACACCCAAAAGGGAAGAATTGCACTGGAATTTCTTCAAACAGCAAGGCTTCTTTTAAAGACAATTCTAATGCTATTATACAGGGGGATCTGGGATGGTTCTTTTTTTGAGGGGAAGGAATGGAGAATGAATAGATGAATACTGTATGTGTCTGCATGTTTACAGGTGTGTGTGTGTGTGTGTGTGTGTGTGTTAGCATGAATGAGGTGTGTATGTGGCTTTGGCCCCACCTACTTCTGGTTTGGCCACTCCTGGCACAGAGCCTTGAGAAAGTTTCCAAGGGTATGTGGCTCTTTTGCCAACAAAAATGTTTCCGTGGACTACCTGCACATTTCATCCACTTCTGTTGAAAGGGTGGGGGATATACAGTGGTACCTCAGGTTACATATGCTTCAGGTTACATACGCTTCAGGTTACAGACTCTGCTAACCCAGAAATAGTACCTCGGGTTAAGAACTTTGCTTCAGGATGAGAACAGAAATCATGCTCCGGCGGCGCGGTGGCAGCGGGAGGCCCCATTAGCTAAAGTGGTGCTTCAGGTTAAGAACAGTTTCAGGTTAAAAATGGACCTCCAGAACAAATTAAGTACTTAACCCGAGGTACCAAACAAATCTGGGTGGGAGAGAGGTTAAACCTGGGTGGGAGAGAGGTTGTTGAGTATCTGATATATGAGTGGTGGGTTGCACTCAGCTTGAGCTGTACTAAAAGACTAGCAAGAATCTGTTTGCTGTGGATCAGAATTTAATAGATGCACATGCAAACAAGTAACAACTAGGTTTGGATTGACAGACTCCTCCCCAAATCTGGATGCCATATGGACAAAAAGTCCAAGCTATTCAAGAATCCAATTTAGTTTAGTTGGTTATCATTTTTACAGGAGTTTGTATGGGTGTCCTGCTCTAATGAGTGTGCCTTGAAATAAAAAGTAGGGACTAGGTTTCTGCCTAATATTATATTTATTCATCCATTAACATACAGTTGAAATACCTTCTCTATTGTCATTTCAGTAGAGTTGTGTTTATTTATGATGGTGTATTTAAAACTTTAGGACATCCATACTAAGTTTTCATTGCTGACTTTTCCAGGAGCCACAAAGGAAGGGCAAAAGTCTCAAGAGGAATAGGTGGGAGAACTGAAATTGGGATGGCAAATGAAAGCTCTTGCCATTCTGTTTGAACTTTGCCTTTTATGTCAAAGTGTAAGGTAGAACAAGCAAGCAAGATTTTTTTTTATTTTTTATTTTAAGTACAGTGCAAGAACTTGCTTTAGTCTGTAGATCAGTCAACCCGAAGTCATTGTGTAGACTGGAAATGATTTATGAGTACTGGCAGACAGAGTTCATGGACACACGCTAGGAGTCAACACAACGTTTTCTGCGATATTCAATTTTTATATTAAATATTTACCTTCCTGAATATGTATGAGAGGAGTTAATGAGAAATGTGCAAGTGTAGACAAAGTTAGGATTTGAATAGACTGCCCTGTTTATTTTCTGGCTATATTGATTTTTATTTTTAGTAAGGTGCTAGGGTAGCACAACCTTTTGTGCAGTTGATGTCTTGAAATAGTTGAGTGCAGCAATATTTGTTAGGGAATACGAATATCAAATATGTATTTATGCTCAAATTTTGAAGTGTGTTTTGATTTTTACAGAAATGTGGAAAAGGAAGAAGGGAGATGGGTTGTAGAAGTCAACCATGTTTTCTACTTGAATTTGTAGGTTTTATAAAACAATGCCTATTACAATTCTGGTGGTTTTTCTGTTTTAATTTTTTTGTTCTGGTATTGCTGCTGTCAAATTAGTTCATATTGTAATTTGATTTGATTCCATATTTTTATAGAGTATTTGCTGTGAGTGGCTCTTACTTTGGGGCTGAAGACACAAAAAATATAAATTAATGTGCTCCCAGTTTGTCTTCATTTTAGCTTCAGGCTGTTGTTTTTAATTTATTAATTGTCTTTTATACAGTCTTCAAGAGACAATGTACAAGAAAAACTGCCAGAAAACCCAGTTTTTAAGAAACAGCAAGTGCATTTTAAAAAAAGAAACCTAAAACCATAAAAAATAGACAGTCATGACAAATATATACTCATGATAAAGAGTTCAGAATCTGAGGTCAGTTGTAATGGAAGTAGTGGACAACTGAAAACTTTTCAGAGTACTTCTTGATTCTAGTGCTATAATATTTTGTGTTGAGTGTCCACTATTCACTGTGACACTTTTTATCACGGGTTTCTTCTATATCTATATCTTTCTGCTGCAGTCACCCAACAAACCAACAGTACCTCAAGAGAAGATAAGGCCTCTCACCAGCCTCGACCACCCCCAGAGTCCCTTTTATGACCCAGAAGGAGGATCCATTAAGTCAGTAGCCAGAGTTGTCATTGAAAGGATTGCACGGAAGGTACCAGTATGGCATTCCTTACAGCAATACAAATTGAATGGGGGGTGGGGATAAATCTAATAATAAAGCTGGAACATAGAACTAATTTGTTCATTACTAGATTTTTCAACTGATGCATAAGAAGCATCAATGAGAAGCTATGAATTGATCGTTCTGTCTATGTTGGGTCAGTGGAGACATGAGGGTCCCAATCTCTTAATGTTAAGTGACTGAGAGGGAGCTACAAGTTCATACAGTGCCTCTCCAGAGTACCCAGCTGAGCAAATTCACTACCTTTCACTTTAATCACAGTTAAGGGATGCATTGGCCCCAATCAGTTTGCTTGAGAGGATGACCACTTCTTGCCAATACATATGAGTACAAATGGAACCCCTCCTAGAGGCTCGTTTTTCAAGGACTCACCAAAGTTTAGCAGCACTGGGTCTGAGGAAACCAGAGAACTGGATTACTCTTTATTTCCTATGCAGATGATTTCAGGGTGTGCATAACTGCTTCCGACTGTGGTTGGTAGTCAACTAACTCACTGAGCTAGCAGAAGCCGGCGCAGGGATTCCTGCAAACACAAAATGACTCCCCCCCGCCCCCGCCCTGAACCCTCTCCAAATCTTCTTCTGAGCGTTTGGAGAACTCTCAGAACAGCATAGGGAGATCATTCCATCAGGCAAACAGAAAGGCAAGTGCCAGTACAACCCCATAATTCCCCACATGCCCTCCCAGTAACATCTGGCATTATGACTAATGAGATCATCACGTTGGATGTTTTCCCACGTTGCCAGCATTTTAAACCACATTTGCCTTTTACAAAATTCTCCTTTGCATCTTAGCTTGCCATTTCTGACTCGTATTTGAAAGCTTCTCCAGAGAGAAGTTTCAGCAGCTCTCATTCTTCAGAAGAGAGGCCTAGGTACCCTTGAGGCTTTAGCTTCCTGGGCTACTTCACAAGACTTACATTTACAAAAGGACCTCATGACTTCACTAGGCCTTCACTAGGTTACACTCCAGGGACACAGATCTTGTTTGTACATATTCAGGCAGCTGATTTTCCATTCCAGCGCCTGCAACTGCATGGTTTCCTCCGCCAATTTAAACACTTGAAAATGTTTCTTTGCAGGGAGAGCAGTGCAATATTGTCCCCGATAACGTTGATGACATTGTTGCAGATCTTGCCGCAGAAGCTCCGGAAGATGAAGGTACTTTTTAATTATGTTCTATTTACACAAGTTTGTGTTTTGCTTCATCCTCCAGTGCTGCTACTCTATATTTCACGCCTACTGCATTATTATTAGGACAGTATTAAAAACAGGAAGGGGGAAAAACAATTTGCTTACCCATTTGTGGTTGGAGCCAGCATCATTACTTAATAAACACCCACAGTGATGGTGTCAGCAGGCAGAATTTTTTGGAATTGAAAGCAGCACTATACTAATTTAGAAGAAGCCTAATCCCACTGACTTTATTATCCTGCGCTGGGTTGGTCTTCGTCAGGCTCTACTATTTTCCTCATCTAACTGCTCTTCTTTATTAATGATTGTGTTTGTCTATGAGGACAGGCTGCCCTTGTAAGCCTATAATATGTGTAGAATTCAAATGAGAGCAGGAATGATTCAGCCATATGCACTAGTATCTTAAATCGAGTATCGTAGAGATTACGGAATTTGTTTTCAAAAGTAAGAAAGGGTGTTATCTCTTAAATTCAAAAGTTAATTGCCTCATTGTCATTTGTGCCTTTTTCTACTTTTGTCTAGGATGCAAGCAATTTCTGTGAGTTCTTTTCCTTTGAAAACTCATTAGAATTGCACATTTACAAGTCTATATTTCAGAATTGCTTGTAGAGCAGGTTGCCTTTAAAAAAAAATTAAATATCTGAATGATTTTGGCCATCGTCTGACTGTGTGACTTCTCAGTACTGCCCTTTTTATCTGGTCCAGAAGCTTCAGCTAGTGCAAAATGCAGTGACCAGACTGCTTGGAGGAGCAGGTTGCTGGCAACATGTTACTCCAGTGCTGAGAGAATTGCACTAGTTGCCAATTTGATACTAGGCCAGGTAGGACACAGGTGGCACTGTGGTCTAAACCACCGAGCCTCTTGGGCTTGCTGATTAGAAGGCTGGCAGTTCAAATCCCCATGACAGGGTGAGCTCCCATTGCTCTGTCCCAGCTCCTGCCAACCTAGCAGTTTGAAAGCATGCCAGTGCAAGTAGATAAATAGGTACCACTGCGGTGGGAAGGTAAATGGCATTTCCATGCACTCTGGCTTCCATCAAGGTGCTCTGTTGCGCCAGAAGCTGTTTAGTCATGCTGGCCCCATGACCTGGAAAGCTGTCTTTGGACAAACGCCGGCTCCCTCAGCCTGAAAGTGAGATGAGCAACACAACCCCATAGTAACCTTTGACTGGACTTAACAGTCCAGGTGTTCTTTACCTTTACTAGGCCAGGTTCCAGGTTTTAGTGTTAATCCACGAAGCCCTAAACAACTTGAACCCAAAATGTCTTAAGGACCATCTGACCCCTACCTTGATCACTGAGATCTTCTGCTGGGGCACTTCTGGTGGTTCCTCACACACTACTGAAGTTCAGTTGGACTTTCCTATGGTATTGAGCTTGTAGTGGGGCAGCCCCTGTGCTGCAGAACACCTTGCTGTGTAGAAGGTCCAGCAGGAATCATCTCAACCGTTTTTCAGACAGCATCTGAAAACTGTCTTGTAAAGACTAGCCTTGGAAATCTGATTTTCTTTTTCAATCAACTGATGTTCCTAATGATATTTTCACTGGTGCTTTTACTGAATTTATTATAATCTTGCATACTGCCTTGTCATACTGCCTTTTCACTTTTGTGAAAGTGTGGATTATAAACACTTAAATGAAGAAATAAATGAAGTGAAATTCCGGCCCTCCCATCTTCTTTAGACCATGCTGCAACTGCTGACTTATCCTGTACTGTTTGGAACATGGAGCAGCATAACAGGAAGTAGCTGCTGAAAGGCAGACTAAACAGGAAGATTTTTCATTAAATTCTACTGGAAGATGTTCTGGCTTATCCATTACTGTGGAATAGCCACTTAATATGCCTCTGTATGCAGTCTTCTAGTTGTCTTCAGAGCTGTGATCTGACACGCAGAATAAGTGAGCAACATGTCACACCAGGCAACTCAAAAAGTGGTAGAAAAGAGCATGGCTGTCATTCCATATAGAAGGATGCTTTGTAGAGATGCACCTCATTTCTTCCTGCAGATAGTACCAGCTTCAATCCCTGGCATACCCAGTGAAATAATATCACACTAGGAGGCATGTAGAAGAGTTTTGTTTTTGTTTTTAAAACCCCTTGACCTATTTGAGCAAGATAGTTTGATTGGCTGGCAATGTTACACTGAAAACGTGTGTGTGGTTGCATGCAAAATAATTTGAGTGGCTAGTCTAAGATGCTCTGTGAGCACCTGTGTACATAGCTGAGAATTCCAGATAGTCGTTGGCGAGAAGTGTTCATAAATGAATGAGATGTGAGAAGATGAAGAAAACAGAAGGCACAATAGATAAATGGGAGTATTGACGAAATTCATCCCTAGGCTTGTTTGTCCTTTTGAAAGTCATTTGTGATGGTGGTGGCTGTCTTAATATCCTATGGCAGTGAGTTCCATAGGGTAATTATTATGCACCATGTGAGTAACTGTTTCTTTTTGCTTTTTTCTTTTAGACGACACTCCAGAAACCTGCATCTATTCCAACTGGTCCCCATGGTCAGCCTGTAGCTCTTCCACGTGTGAAAAGGGCAAGCGGATGAGGCAGAGGATGCTCAAAGCTCAACTTGACCTCAGTGTGCCTTGCCCAGAAACGCAGGACTTTCAGCCATGCATGGGCCCAGGCTGCAGTGATGAAGGTAGGAAAGAGAAGAAAGGGGGGGTTGAGATAAAGGTATACTTCTCTTCCCACCCACCCCACATCCAGATGAGACTTAGAAAAGAAATGGCAATTGTATTCTATATTTTAGATGGCTCCACATGTATGATGTCCGAGTGGATAACGTGGTCCCCCTGCAGCGTCTCTTGTGGCATGGGAATGCGGTCGAGAGAAAGATATGTGAAGCAGTTCCCCGACGATGGCTCTATATGCAAAGTACCCACAGAAGAGACCGAGAAGTGCATTGTGAATGAGGAGTGCTGTAAGTATTTGATTTAGCCTACCTCGCTGAATCAGCATAAGAGCTGCCTGTGATCCCTCTATTAAAGGAGTGCCAGTAGACTGATCTTCTTTCTGCCTATTGCTATCAATAGCTCCTAGTACCTGCCTGGTGACTGAATGGGGGGAGTGGGACGAATGCAGTGCCAGCTGTGGGATGGGAATGAAGAAACGGCACCGGATGATCAAGATGACCCCAGCAGATGGATCCATGTGCAAGGCAGAAACCACGGAAGCTGAGAAATGCATGATGCCCGAATGCCGTAAGTAGCTGAGATTCACCCAATCACTGTGTGGGAAAGTGGCATGTCTCCCCGCCTTGAGATGTGGCTCAACTACAGCTTGTTATACTCAGAGACAAGCAAATTTGCAGGTGGAAGAAAGGCTTGGGAAGGCAACTGAGCTGATGCTTCTCGCGTAGCCATGTTGCATAGGGCATGTGGCCTAAAGTTAGGGAGGGATGAACTGGCCTGTTTTGGGTATGTGCCCCTTTCACATATTTTTACCCATAATTCTATTCCATTTCCACATTAATCTTCAATATTAAAAAAATCATCTCAAACTACATATTAAAAATTATGAAAACTGTTCTCTTAAAACGTATGTATTTAAATTGTGACACACACCCCATCTTCAAATTATGTATTAAATGCATACTGTGTCACAATATTCAAAGAGGTTCAAACTCAGCAGATGGCTAACATCTGCCCTACTTGTTAGTCCAGGTCCTTTTGCATAAGGATTTGCAAAGACTTCAGCATCCCAAGCGGCCTTGGCGCTGGGGATGTGCTTTCTCTTTTCTCTAAAGTCTAAACTACTTTAAATAGCTATTGCAACATCCTACAAAATTCCTTTGTCTCTTGATGATTAATCCCATTTGTTTGGCAGCTTTAAAGCTTCAAATGCAAAACCTGCCATTATTGACTTCATCTCCCTTTTCTTGGGCTGCACAAAAGAGCACTTGTTTCAGATGGAAAGTTATGTGATTCATTTCGGCAAAGCCACCTTTAACAGTATTAGCAGGGAGGTGGCATATAATTACAGAGTGCACTTAAGTAAAAGATACCACTTTAACTCAGATTTGAAGTCAAGTCTGTAACATGACGTATGCTGGATATTCTTAATCTAGGCGTTCTTTTTCTACATCACTATCTTCAGATAATTTCCTAGGCCAGGAAGATTATGGGCTGTGGTTTGAATGCAACCCCAGGGTGTTTGACCCACAGTGCCACCTGTTAAGCCTGAAATGGTGCAACCAACTCCACTACCCCATTCTGCTGCATTTTTATACCTGCCCTCTAACCCTAGACTAGGGCAAGGCAGATGGAAGGGTCAAAGACCTTTATAATGAAGAAGTCAGGTCCAGGGCAACAGGGCTGAAATATGGAGGGATCCAGAGAATTGAGGGCAAGGGGAACTGGCCAGAAGGATGAGACTGATATGCAAAAATAACCCCAGAATCCCCTGAAACAGATAAAGAATAGGCTGAACAGATGAGGAGGTTCACATGAGCAGGATCTGCAGGGGTTTGAAATATTTCTGATTTGAAATAGCCTTCCAGATCTCTATTTTGGAAAACCATTTGCTTCTGATTTCTTCTGCAGCCAAAATTATTCACCTTTTTAAATCAATATTCATCTCAGTTATGTTCATCTGACCACGGTATGAAAAGAAACCCCATCAACTATACATCTATAGCACTGCTCCTGCCTGTTTTATAGGTTTTGGCTGGCTCTCGTGCATATATTAATGGGACCATAAATCAGTTCACTAGATACAAAATTGCATTTCCCCATGTATGGACCATTTCATACAACATTGGCCTGAAGACTCAAGTCGAGAGGAGAGCTCCACGCAGAATAAGCATGCATTAAACATATGCTGCAGAATATAGCTTTCAAATTCTTATTCTTAAGTATGTACAGGCACACGCTAATACGTAATGTACAAAATGGCTCTGAGGCTAACATTAATTAGTATCTCTCAAGCCTCTCCTGTCACTGTGATTTATGTACTCAGTCCAGCGAACCTTTGCATGTTATGAAATCACCCATAAATCAGTCTAATGTGAGATCTCAATGGATTGACCTCAAGTCTTGTAAAAGAATAAACAGCACCATTGGGTGGCTAGAGGACTAGCCATCTCCAGGCTATAAAAATCATCAGGGAGTGCAAGCAGCTGTGTGCCACCCCCATCATGCCAGTCACCCTTGTTTACTGTTTTTACACATCATGAAACCAGCCCCAGGAAACCGTAGTGGTGTGAACTGATGCTGACCTGACTTTACGAGGTGTGAAAATATCCCTTGTCTCAGGCTCCATTCCCTGCCTAGCCAGTGTCAGTTTAACTCTGGACTTTGTTCTCTCCAGTTCACTCTCTTGACTGAATTATTCCTGGATTTCCCTCACCCCGTTCTCTTGGTACATTTTCTCATTGGCACATGTAACAATTTCCTTCAAGAACGCCTAACAAATACCACATTCTAGCATGGGTGAATGAATTCAATTGACCTGACTTTAGAAAAATAATCATTTCAGGTTTCATGAAATACATTCAAAATCACAACAAAGAGCCATAAATGCATCTTCATTGATACAATACTATTAGCATCTAGGGGCACCAAACTATCCAAAATGATTTTTTTAAAGCTTTGGGGGGGACACTAATTTTGGGGCCCCTAAATCAATGTATAAGTATTTACAAAGGTATCTTGCTTCATCTCCTCTTTACTGAAGCTGCATTGTAGAGTAAACATACCACGCTGTGCCAGTTTGCACACCATAGTCATTCAACCACTGGATGTAAATGTGTCCAGAGTTTTCCAGTGTTGTATGACCTCTAACCTCTTTGGTGGAAGCCACTAGGGCTTACAATGATACTTGAACTGTAGCTTTCTTGGATTCCTTACACTGGTGATGTGCTCATTGCTCAAAGCTATGTTAAAGTAAACTCGTTTTCTCAGGGCACATGTAGAGTTCCAGTTGAACTGAGCTTCTTGGCAAAAGCAGCTGCCATTTAAATTGGAGAAATAGCACAGGGGAGATGGGTTAACTCTGTCCCCTCATAGCCCTGAGCCAATTCAGGGAGAGGACAGACTGCTCCCAAGATGGAAAAAAGAGAGACTGGGGGAGCTGATTGCAATTTCTCATTTGCCCCACAAGTGAGAAAGATGGGGTGATGGGGTCACTGGTGTTTGCACCCTGGTAGTCAATATGGATTTGAGCCAACAAGGGTCCTCCTCCATTGCAAGATCCACAGTACCAATCCAGTCTTTACCAAGTGGCCCTGTCCTCCAGCTTTTTCCAAATGGCTGGACAACACTTTGAAATTAAAGCCTGGCTGTGAGCTAGTCAATCTTTCTCCCTTGCGCTAGATACCATTCCCTGTATGCTGTCTCCTTGGTCTGAATGGAGTGACTGCAGCGTAACATGTGGAAAGGGGATGAGGACCCGACAGAGAATGCTGAAATCTGCAGCAGAGCTTGGAGACTGCAATGAGGAGCTGGAGCAAGTAGAAAAGTGCATGCTGCCCGAGTGCCGTAAGTACAGATGTCTGGAGTCTGAAGGCCAGGTTGCTGTTTCCCTTCCCCTTCTTTCCTATTCAGCATGCTGCTTGGCCAGAAATCTGGTCATTCTGTTTGCTTTGACAAAGTGCTACTCCTAACCTGATCATAGCCTTGAGTCAAGAGCGGTGATGCACAGCTACACAGGCATTGCCGAAGCACCATTTCCACACAAGCTGTCAGGGCAGGGTCATCGACAAGCAGACTGACATGGGCAAGGAAGTGGGAACATGGAGATCTGGGACAAAGATGTAAGTCAGACCCAAAGTACAAATGAGAAGGCGGAAATCAAGGAGCAAGGCAGAAATCAGTACCAAATAACAAGAGCTACAGAGCTGAAGAACAGGGTGGTCTTTACCAAGGGGTGCAAGGGGTGTGGTGCACCCGGGCGCTGAATTCTGGGGGGGGGGGCACCAAATGTATACCCACTGTACACCAGTCCCTCTTGATTTGCAGCAGTGAAAAGCAATAGAGCAGAAGTCCCCACCCCCCTCCTCCATTGCTCTGTTACTCTGTAGCATCATATATTCCCGACGAGTCAGGAAACAAAAGCAGGTTTTTTTTGCTGCATTGTTGTTACAGGTGAGTGATTCCCCCTTCCCAAAAAAGCTCAACAACCTTGAGTTGGCCCCCCCTAAAAAAGGTCAACAAAGAACTTTGGGGGTGCTGGGCAGATCTTTGCACCCCGGCGGCTCACATGCTAAAGACTGCCCTGCTCAAGAAGACCTTGTTGCTTGAATAAGGCTTGGCTGAGTGGGCAGAGTCAGTCCAAGGCTTGAAGATACTTTGCTTATAAGCTGTCACCTTAGAAGCTGTCACCACACAGGGCACAGATATCAGCAGCTCCTGACACAAGGGTAGAATGTCTAATTCTATTGCAGAGATCACAGAGAATGATTTCTTCTGTGTCAGTGTTGGAGAGCCTATGAAAGGCCTTCCTTGCTGCTGAAAAGTGTTTGCAATGGTGATGCAGAACTACTGCTAGTTCTATCACACACCTGATGCCTGCAGAAAGCAGGCTTCGGTTCTACTGCCCACCTGCTGATCAACAGTAGAAATGAAGCTTTCTGGATCAGCTGCACCTGGTGTTTTGACATCCCAAATTCAAGGCTTCAAAAGTGCCCAAGCCCCTGACTCGTTCTGATGTCAGATGGTTGACAGATGGGCAGCCCCACCCCCTGTCAGATTTGGCCCATGGAGCCAAAAAGATTCCCCACCCTGAACTCGAGACTTCCCAAAAGATAGCTCATACTTTTAACTGCTAGATCATCCCAGCTTTCAAATGGTGATGACTGCAGGATCTTTCTGTTTTGGCTCCCCAACCTTGCTCCCACTTCTGGTCTCCTAACTCTGCCCACCCACAAGAGTGTTCCATTATAGAGCCAAGTGCCACTTAAATTCTTTGAAAAGATTTTACCCTTCCAAAGATCCAGGTTATTCTCACTAGGCATCCAAGTAGCCTGCATGCTGGGGCTCTGAGGAGGAGAGTGCCACTGGATTCTGCCATAGGAGGCATGAATGAGTTCAAGGTAATGGGTTGGTTCATTACAGTGGGAAGTAGAGGAAAAGAGTGTAGGGGGAGAGAATAACAGTGCCTTGTTGAGAGTCCCTGTGATTCTCAGGCATCTCTGTGTCTGTGAAAGGAACAGAATGTGAATGTTGTCTGAAGTGGTGCAAAAACAGCCTCTGGGTCTGTGTGCTCTAAAGACGAGCATTTCACCGCTTCCATATTCATTTCTGCCTGGCCAATGAAAGGCCACCACAGATGGAGAGTAAGTCCCCAGTGGAGTAATTTGAGCTTATTCTCAAAACATAATTATAAGAAGATGATCTAGGTTCTGTGTTGCTATAAAACAGCCTTCCCCAAGTTGGTGCTCCTAAGCTAGCATGACTAGGGATGATGGGAGTTGTAGTCCACTGGCATCTGTAGGACACCAGAGTGCAGAGAGCTGCTATAAAATTTGCTCTGAGACCATCAGGGAATTTTCCTGCTTTTTGGTGCCACTATCAGAGCATATTGACATTGTTCCTTAACTTCATTTGTTTGCGTAGCTTGATGCTCATGGCAGCCTTTCTTGTTCTGTCTGTGTAGCCATTGACTGTGAGTTAACAGAGTGGTCTCAGTGGTCAGAATGCAACAAATCTTGTGGGAAAGGTCATATGATCAGGACAAGGATGATCAAAATGGAACCCCAGTTTGGAGGAGCTTCGTGCCCAGAAACTGTACAGCGTAAAAAATGCCGGATAAGGAAATGCTTGAGAAATCCCAATATTGAGAAACGGCGGTGGAAAGAGCCTCGTGAAAAAAGGAGAAGTGAGCAGGCAAAAGAAGATGTAGATGGCGAGCAATTTCCAGGTATGTGTTGTAGACGTTGCTTGGAACTGTTGTGCCACCAAAAACTAGTTAAAAGAGGAGCAAACAGGCGCACAACCCTAGACTACAATACTAGTTTGTTTATTTATTCCTGAGTCATTTATAGATTCTGAACTGGTCCCCAGAGATCACAGGAATGATTAACACACAACACACCCCCAAAAAAATTATAAAGAAAATACAACATGATTTAAACCAATTTCAGAATAAACACAAAACAGAATAAAACACATACTAAGCTCAGAAAGATCCATTATTTTTTCAAGTCATGTCAAACTTAGGACCGTTAGTTTTGAAGGGTCTACTCTGAATAAAACTTAGCTGGCTACAAGCACCTTTTCCGAAATGTAGAATGGGAGCACATTCCATAGCCTTGATCCTCTGCTTCTGTTTGTCATTCGTCCTATCTATTTAATAGAAGGGGCCCAGTTAATGTACTAGGTAGGGCTACTGCAGTCCCTTGTGCATTTGTAAGAGCAGCCTATTCACATGGGCAACACCTGCCACTCAGAAGATCCATTGTGTGGATGTGGCAGTTGAGATAGACTCATGAGCCACAGATATTCACGAGGAATTTCTAAAAGTATAAACTATTTCTCAAGGTAACATGCCGAATGACCTGTGGAATTATTTATATATCTAACCATGATATTTTAAAAGCTTGAAGTTAAGAACAGAAATCAAAACAAGTGTACAGAAGAGAGAATTTTCACACAAAGTATTGACCTTCATGCTTTTATTTTATTTTAATTTTAGGTTGTAAGATGAAACCATGGACTGCTTGGTCAGAATGTACCAAACTGTGTGGGGGTGGAATCCAGGAAAGGTTCATGACAGTCAAGAAGAGATTCAAAAGCACTCAGTTTACTAGTTGCAAAGACAAGAAGGAATTAAGAGCCTGCAATGTTCATCCGTGTTAGCAAAACCTGAGTCTTTCAAATAATGCACTCTGAGCTAAATGTAAAATCAACCTTGATTTGATTTTTTTTAAAGAAGATATAAATTGTGTATATTAGTTTTCATTTTTGCAGTGTGGTTTGCTTATTAGTCTTGCTGGTGCAAGAGATATATTTTATAAATATTTCCTCACAAATGTATGCTGAGAGTGGCTCCTTGATGCTCCAGCTAGCCCTTAATGCATAAAAATAGTGAAGTCATTGTGAACTGCTAATAACTTTGAAATTATAGACATCTCTGTGTGGACATACCATAATCATAGAAATATTACCTGTAAATACACAGGATGCATGCATAAATTACATTGCAAACATAAATACCTATTTGGATCCAGTTTCAAAATACTCAAAGCAGTGCCTCTGTGATTACACAACTGTGCCAAGGAATTTCTTCAATAATGCTGGTTCAATAATACTTCAGGTGCATAGTTATCTTTTTAAATTTGTATTTATAGCAATCCTGTGAGACATTTCTTTTTCCTTCGGTAGGGACCGCTACAAAATAAAGCATATTTTCTTCCTTCCCACTTTCAGAAGAGAAAGCAAATTTAAACTGTTCACATGTGAATAGAACAAATGGTAACACTTTCTGTCTGAAGGCCACAAATTAACTGTTGGGCTGCTTCTAAGTGAGAACACTATTCACATTTGCCATGTCAGATGTTACGTCAGGACATCCTGTGACCACCAGACAGGAACCTGTGACTGCCAGAAGTTGTGGAACTACAGCTTTGATCATCCCTCAAGCTTTGGCCATTCTGGCTAGGGGTTGATGGGAATCATCTGAAATGCCACAAGTGCTAAGTGGTAAGATACAGGGAAGCAGGCACTCAATTGCATCAGGGATGAGGAACCTGCGGCACTGCAGATGTTGCTGCATTCCATCAGTCCCAGCCAGCCTTGCTCATCTCTGATTTGGAGATTATCCTTGCCTGGGGATCAGAACCAAACAGATCTCGGTGGTTTCGGGAGCAGCCATTGCCTTCTAAGAGTTGGGCTAACATAAATATACAAGGTGTTGTTTAGATGCCTGCTGCAGAGGTGACAGTCCTCAGCATCAGAGCTTCAAACCTTGCTCTACCAAGTAATTCCAAGAAGGAAGAAGGGGAAGAAGCTTCTCCGCATCACTCCCTAAGCTGCTTTTGCTGGTTTCAGTCACAAAGCTTCCATTTTTCTCTCTCCATCACCTGGCAGAGGTATTGTTACCCTGATGTAATTGTCACAGGCAGCATATATGTTTGTTTCTCCTCGTTCTCTTACTAGCTTTTCAGTAATGGCTGCCATATTTCTGGCATATATTTTCAGAAAAAAGTAACTGTTGTGAGAGACAGTTTTGGTGGTGCTGGTATTATAGATTAGTATAAAAACAAAAAGTACAGCTCCAATAGGAAGTTGTACAGTGGAGTAAGTACCATTGAAAGGGGGCTGGGGTCAGTAAGTGGATCCTTAGGAACACCCATGGATGAAGCAGAAAGCTCCTGCATTTCTGTCTAAAATGTAGGACTACATTACAGACACAACTATGGCATACTGTAACAGGCAAGGCAGATGCCTTGAATTAATCCTTCACCATCTCTCTCATAAAACCCAGTATTGGCTGATGTGTGCCATGTAGCTGCAACCTGGGCCCGAAGGATAGGGATTCAGTTACCTGCCCCTAATATAGCCAGTATAATTGTGGAGAACACAACTTGTGTTCAGTGTGCAAAAATCCAAACTAGAAAAAAATGCTGAAAATGCAAGCCGTTCTCTACATACCTTTACAGAAATACCTTGTATGTTCATGTGTTTCTACTTTCAATTGCCAAAGCTTCAGAAATTTTGATACAACAATGAAGAAGGCAACAAAAAACTCTAGAGGTTATATAAATAATTTTAAGGAGCAAGCTCAAGTCTACCACAATAATGAACAAGTGCGTGGATTATTAGTAACATTTTGATGTACTGGGCAAATGACTCCCAGTATTAACGAAGTCTGTATGCATCTTGCGTGCAGAGGAATGTGGGATTAGTGTGGGAGAGGGCAGAAGCATGCATGCAGTGTCATTTTGCCAGAGTGGCTCATCTGGTCATGAGGCTGTAAACATTTCCGAAGGATAAGGCATCAGTGAGTTTCCCTGGAATGTCAAGAGGTGTAGAGAAAGATTCAGGTAATATATTAGAGTGTTCTGTAAATCATCAGCAGTTAAAAACCACAGTATAAAAAGGAGGGCATCTTTCTGCATTCTCTTCAGTTCTCTATGCCAAACGTAAACCTGTACAAGGACTGAGTCCAAAAGGGACTGAGTCAAATTAGAGAGTCCCCAAAACTATAATGATATTGTTGCAGGCAGTGGTCTCAGAATGAAATAACGTGCAGGGTGATGCCACCAGCCTTCTAGAGGTAAGGGACCTCCAACTATTGCAGAAAAGGAATGAATTCTGCACACAGCTCCAAAATTCCACAAGGTTTTCATTTTCAATTTGTCATGTAGCTGCTGACATTAATCATCTTGTACCCCTTTCAGAGCTGCAGCATTTATAAACAGCAGCACAGTGTGTTGGCACCCTAAGGGGGGAAAACACATTTTATTGTTTTTGACACAGAGAGATTCACCTAAGACTGACTGCTGAGCTCTGGGAAAATGTAAACACCTCTTCCAACATAATATTTGGTGCACTTGGGGTGTCTTTTTGAAAGGGTACCACGGGCTCATTATACATGGAAACTTAAAAGGTCTCATTTGTAACTATTCCAGAAAGGATTCACCTCAGAAGACATGTGTGGTCAGCTAGAAATAACATCACTTTTCTATGTATAATCCAAACATTGTTTCAGAATCAACTACTTTTGACTCATCAGCCAGTCTGCCATTTGGGTGTCTGTGGGGTTGCTAAGCAGAAATCTGAGGAGCTAGGCTCTTAGCTTTTTTACTACAGTCACCATAGCCACTTCAAATGAGGTCCTTTATTCAAGATTAATATATGTCCTTTTATTGAATGCCTCATCAGAAAAGTTAACATAATCTCAAAAGGTTGGCAGTGTTCTTTTTCTAGAGCTAAAGTGCACCTCACCTCCCAAATCCTCACTATATTCCTTCTCATAAGCCTTTTCCATCCCTGTCTCTATACTCAAGACCCAGAGACACACCATCTTCACAGTTAGTTCATTGTGGTTGTGAGTGTCTTCTCATGTATCATTTGCACTGAGTAGCCAGTCACTTCCAGTGCAAAGCCACCCAAAGCAATTGAGGGCCAATGGGCAAGGAAGGGAAGAACCAGGGAAAATTCAGGAGGGCCTTCAGCACAGGCGCCGAGCAGAAATGTCTTGAAAGGACAAGCACACTTATGAGTTAATGCACGAGATTAGGCTGATGCTAATTTTTGTGTCTCTGGTTTTCAGATATCTAAGATTCAATTATGTTTTGCTTCAATGAATTATGCATTAACTTCCTCACATTATATACTTATTCAGTCAAAATATGCATGAAATATGTAACCGCTGGAGTATGCCCAGTTGCATTTACTTGCAAAAAAACAAAACACCCTGCATTAAAATGTTTTTGATTCTTCTACGCTGTGCTTGTATTAAATGCTAGTAATTGTCCCAGAAAGAGTGCTGGCTCTACTGAACTAAGTAAGAATTTCCATGAACTTAATGATTTGACTTTCACTGTCCCCAGTACTTGATTGACACAGCAGCAGCTCTGTGTAGTTGCTTGTAATTTCTTTAATATCTAACAGTATTTTGCTTGGTTGGCTGACTTTTCAAAGGATTGTGATTAGAAAGCATGAAAGAGCTTGCAGCTGAAGACAATTTGGTTGTTCCATCACCTGATAATATAGCTGTCCTAGTCCACGTTGACAAATTTCTTCTAATTTGATCCAAATAGTGGTGGGAATCATTACTTTTTGTAATAATGGTAATGCTTTTTTAAAAAAAATGAAACAAAAAATGAATGAAAAACAGAACGGCCCCAATCCAGCTAATCACTGTTAGTGGAAATTTAATTAGGACTACCTTGTTCCATTGGTTTTAATGGGACTAAGACTGCAATGCTATACACACTTGACCTGGGAGTAAGTCCACTGAAGTCATGAGACTTACTTCTAGGTAGAGATGTGTATGATTGTGCTGTTAATCACACCTAATTTTAGCTTGATAGAGACTCTTAAGGTTGATTTTTCTATTAAAGAAATGAATCCCAAAGTGACACAGAATGCATAGCATTATTGCAAAGTTACTGTAAACCTTCTAGTAGTGTAATATTTGTTGCAAATCAGCCAATAATAGACCACACTTCTTCTCTTGTACAATAATTCATGCCTGTTGCACATTCTGGAACCAAAAGCACAGGTATAGATCTAGGAATTTTATACACCTCACTTACCATTTATTAACATTCTCTGTGTTTTATTTTCTTACATAATCTGTAGAAACTTTACAAGCAATGAAACAGAAATGTTAGGGGGCTTATATGTACAATAGGTTTTAATAAAAGCAACTTGGTTTTTTAAAAAAACAAAAAAGGCCTTTTTGTTTTTATGTTTTCTTTGTTGTTGGTTCTTTTTTTTGGTTCACTATGGAATTTCTGAGAAAGCTGTCATGGATATATTTCTTACCAAAGTCTTGTGTAGATGTTTTGTATGTAGTTGTCCGGCTAACACATTATTATTTTGGAATAAAGACATCTTTACTATGAAAACAACATCACTTGTTTGTTTGAGTTTAATGGTACAAGTAGATAAATGTTGTTGGCATCTGTCTGTCTTCAGAAACAATGGACTGTGCCTCCAGGGGTCAAACAGCAGTACCAAAGTGACCTACCCAGGGTGCAAGCCTGGGCAGTGTGTATGGAGGTCCTGGACTGCCCAGACAACAATAGCCCCCTCTCAGCCTCATTGATGTGGCCCAAAGGAAAGGAAAGGAAAGGAAAGGAAAGGAAAGGAAAGGAAAGGAAAGGAAAGGAACACGTTTGGCACCA